TGACATACAACCAGTTATAAACGACTGCCAATCTTCACTCAGGAACATAAACTATACACAGCTAGTGAGCAAGTCCACCATCTCTGTTGTCCACTAGAATCATGAAAGAATCAAGAGCATGACAGAGACAATTTACTCATTTATGTCCAAGCATCAGTCTTTTCAGATCATAGAGTGAGGGCACCACTATAAACCTCCTACTTTGGAATGATTTAACCCTTTCTTTCCCAGGATCTCATTAGTAATTCTCATTACTGTCTGCCATATAATTCTTATGATGTTAGTTCGGAGAATTGGGTATTGGATCAACTAATAATCCCTAATTGATATTTTTTCTTCATTCTCATTACTTGTCTGCTTGGCATTGTATTAGTGTTGTTGGGAGAAATTCTGTATTGGTCACTCATAGGAGTTAAAGAGTTAAATCTTTTTGTTCACAATCTTAGTGATTTCATGTACAGGTAAAAGGCATGATTTACAGATGTCATCCTTGTAACATACAAAATATACCAATAACATCTGTTAACCCTTTAACTCTCAAGATCTCATTGTTAATTCTCCTTGCTGTCTGCCATACAGTTCTTGCAATGTTAGTTTGAAGAATTTGGTATTGAATCAACTTATAACTCCTAATTGATATTTTTCTTTATTCTCATCACTTGTCTGCTCGATATTGTACAGAGAAATTCTGTCTTGGTCACTCACAGGAGTTGAAGGGTTAGGAATCATTAATCACAGCATGCAAACAATCACACCAACCTCATTGCCTGAAGAGTACTGGCAGTATGCAGACAAATTCAATCCACACTGGTTAATGACTATTTAATACTGGATGTGACAAAATGATAATGATCTAAATATGACTATTGCACTTCACAATGAACAACCAGAACCAATTTTACACAATTACACTTACTAGTGTAATACAGTTACTGTCAAAGTGTTCAGTTTTTCCTTTTTCTGGTGGTAAAAGAGCTCCTACAGAAGAAAGTAACAAAATGTGTAGGTGTAAAATTCCAAACTGCATGAAACTTGGCCTGTCTGAACATCTGGGAGGGGTAACTTTTCCATTTGGACTATAAAAAACATGACCTTACTTGTCTGATCAGACAACCATGGGCAATGATTTATTTTTTCACCCAACTTTGGATATGATACATCATTTCCAATTTTGAAAAGTTTGTTGCCCATAAAAATAAGTATCACTTACAGAAAGTAATATACATTTAAGTATCATTTTGAATATCTTTTTCAATCGATTCACTTCAAATTCTTGCCATTTCCTCTACTTTTTCCCTAAAAAAGCTTAAAATTTAGCATTTCCCGCCATTATGTTTTCATCTGTAGTGTGCAAACATTTGCACTAATTGAGTTACTGTTTCATTACTACCTTGGTTTCTTTAGATGCTCTGAAACGATGAGATCTTTGCTGGTTCATTTTGCCCTTGGAGCCTGCAATAGAAATGAACAAATTAAAGACAAACATGCACAAATATTATCATAAATAAGCCAAAATAGAAAAATAAATATATATTTTATAATAGATTAATAAATATACTTGCAAAATGCTACTTACTACTCCATCAATGGCCATGTAAAGCAACTTTCTGGGTCTAACTATAGAGAAGATTCTGTAAAAAAAAAAAATAGAAATTGACTGTAGTGGGTAATAAATGTTAAATATAGTTAAATGGAATATGCCATAGATAACAACTAGAAGCAAATATGGTCAGTAGCATTTTGAGGTGTTTGATAAATGTCTTGGCTGGCTGTTGGCATTCATGCAGCATTTGTTGCATTCTGTTTGGAGCAGTACTGTGGTCATTGGGACCTTGAGGCCGTCCTTATCAAGTGGTAGACCTTACCAGTGCATGTGTTGTTCTACCATGTGTTTGCATTGTAATCACTCTTCTATGGTGTGGTGTTGTTTTCCTTGCAGATTGCGGATCTTGGCATTTTGTCCCCCCCCCCAACCCTAATTGCAGTGTTTATTTCTATTTATTTATTTTTTTTATTTATTGATTCACTTCTTTATTCATGTTTTCCTCTACTCAGCTATCTGGCTCTTGTGTGACAGTGCTCATTGGGCGCTTGGTGTAGGACGTTTCAGGCTGGATTGCAGACTGAGCAGGCCAATCTGGTGTTCAAGCACCTCAGGGTGCAACTGTGGTTTCAGCCCCCAGGTCTCCCAGGCATGTAGCCTCCATTTGAGACGTGGGCATTAACTGAGAGTAAAATCTTACAGAGTGTTCCCTAAGCAAGAGATGTGGTGGCCTAATGGTTGGTGCACTAGGCTTCTGTTCTAGAGGTCTAGGTTTGAGACCAGGTCATTTTGTTGTGTCCTTGGGTAAAACAGGTTATGTACACAGTACATCTCTCCAACCAGGAGTAAAAAATAACCCCCCAAAAAAGTACCTGTTAATGTACTCAAAAACAGCCACCATCATTTCATCTTCATTCTTTGGAGCTGGCCTGGAAATAAATGATAAAATGTCTATAAATCTAAAAATCTAAATGTCTAAATGTCTAAATGTCTATAAATCTCAAACACGTGTAGTTAGATCAACAACAAGCCAGGCTATCAATCCTTCAACCGACTCACCTTTTCTTCTACACAGTGGACTACGATCGACGGGTACTTCTTTGATAGCCAGCGAAAAAATGCTGGAACTCTCATCCATGCGTATTGAGTTCAGCAAATTGGAGTTAACTCAACGCTGAAAAGTGAAAAAGCCTCTGTAGAAAGCTCATAGGCTTACTTGAGAAGATAGGAAGGTTTTCTCAGCTGAGAAACTACCAGGCGATATACCGCTGACTGATTTTTCTCGCAATGTTAAAGCATAGGCAAGCAATGCGTGCATACATCTTCAAACCACACTGGGGAAAAAGTTCGAGTTCGTTGCTGGACAAAAAAAAATGCTTATTAAAGAGATAAGAATTCTCGAATTCATAACTTTTTCCCGACAAGATACACTTCGATAGTTAATTTTTCAAACAGTGAAGGATGAAACAGAAACTTGCTGTTACGAAGAAAAAGAAAAAACCAATAATTTTTATGTCAGCCCCAAATATTGAGACATTAATCTAACGTTCAACCAGCATCCCTTTTTTGGCTCACTTTTACACCTCTGAACGTTTCCAGGACAGAGGGAATTTTTCACCCACTGTGCTTGCCTTCAAAATTCATATCTTTAGCCAGGACGCAAATATGGAAAACATGCCTCATCTATCATCAATTCCCTCACCACCCTCCCAAAAAAGATACATTGACCACCATTAGACTGTGCTTATTAAGGGAGTGGCCACTCCCTTATAAGTACAGTCTAATGGTGGGTCAATGTATCTTTTAAGTGCAAAACTTGGTTTTTGTCCCAACCAAAGCGAGGCAAAATATTCCTGTTTTCTTTGTTATGTTTCACTGTATGGATCACCCTTTCATGCTAAACGGAGGGAAAAGGAGAGCCTGGGAACGTAGTTGGCGACAAGGAAGTTTTAGGAAGAGTGCAAAGAAACGGCGCCAATCTTTTCCCTCAGCAAGCCAATCAGAGTACACAAATATGATGACGTATCTAGGGGCGCCAAACCCGCGACAACACACGAGTCAAGTTTCATGGAAGCGTACTTGAATACAGCTGGGTAACTCTGCATCATAAAATGAGTGGATATGAATCTCTAGCAGAGAATGCATACGAAATGGTGATAGGGAAAATTTGCCTTTTCACCTTTTACTTAGCTCTGAGTCCTTCAAGGGCAGAAAGCACCGTCGTGACCAGGTAAAACTTTTGAAAAACACATAGCTTCTGTATCGATCTTCGTTATAGTTCGTCTTTGGTATACCTTGGCTACGAAAAGATCACTCTTTTGCCATAGAAAACATTGCATTTACTTAAGCTAGAGCTTGAATATGGCCCGTTCAATCTGGTGGTGAGGAAATTAATGAACCTTTTATTCGCCTTTGTCACCCACTCTTTAAAAGGGGCGCAAATTACCGTGGTTTTTCTAATAACCTCAGTCCCAATTCAACCATAATTCGTCATCGGATTAGGGACCTGTTACGTCCACAGCAAATAAAGATGTCAAAGCAAGGAAACAGTAGTGACAAAAAACGGGAAAGTTTGTCAGGTTCTTACTCAGGGGTCATTCCAAACTTTTCTGACAGCTTTGAAGCTAAAACTGCTTCTTGTTTGTTATTACTCCTTGACTTTGACACTCTATTTGAAAGATAATCAAGAAAAAACAGAATTCTAAGGAATGATTGGTTATCACCGGTCCGATATGGCATGTGGCAGTTTGTGGTCTTTCCCTTCATCTAGGCAGTTCAGAAAGCCACAAAACTCTAGAACAAAGATTTATCTTCCAAATCAGCACTCTTAATTCCCAGGGTTGTATTCCCACCAATAGCATATCTCCATTTTTGGCATATAAACTCACACACAACCCACAATTCCTCCATTCACTCTGATGAAGGGCTAATGCTTGAAACATAGCCTTTAAACTCTTTATAGTGGCCAATTTATGTTGATAACACTAACTTGATAACTCAGTTGATAACACCAAGTTACCCTGATGTGAGCACTAATAGGACTGTGTAGGCATCATGCTTGTAATTGGACAGTGTAATAGGACAGTTAAAGGAACAGTTAGCATGTCATGGCAGTGTAAGTGGACAGAATGTGTCATGTGCACATGCTGTTGCCTTGCATTTTGCAACAGTAACTTGGTTTTTTTTTATGAAAACAGTTTTATGAAATAGTTTTGATTAATTGGTAACAGGACTTTGTGTTGTCCAATTCTATCTGTAATCTTACTTTTGATTAACAAATCGGGCTCCCCCTTTGTGACTGTCCCATTTTTGTACTCTTATGATTACAGAAGGAATTGAAATCCACCCATTCATATAAGTATCACTTTTTGATTCCTGTGAAACTTCCTTCTTTACACACACCATCCATATACCCAGTCAATGAACCACTCTTTTATGGATGATTTTCCAATGCTTTGGTGCAAAGTTTATTTTTTGTTTTTCTCTCTTGTAAATATACACTGATGAAACATGGATTTACCACTGTATTTGTATTATCTGTTTCTAAATTCTTGATGTTTTATCTGTAAATGTTCCAGTAGTGCATAACTGCTCCGTGCTACTTGATACACAAACAAAGATACATGACTTCATCAAAATCTAGAAAAAAGAGTCATTTGCCTTTGGCTGAATAATGTGTAGTGGCCACTTTATCTGGTCTTTTCATGCCAGTTTGCTTAAGTTGGTACTGTTTTGTTGTTTTGTTAGATCTACACACCCAAGTCTTTCTATCTGTCATACTGATTAGAAGCTGTCACTTTAATCTAAAAAAAGTTCTTTCATTGAAATGTTTGCCTTTTGAAACTTTCTACTGACTTTTGCTAAATAAACAGTATAAATGTTTAGAAATATTAACCTTGAAGACAAAAAAAAAACTTACTTTGTACAGCCTTGAAGAGCTTGAGTAAAATTATGATATAATGATACCAGATGAAGAAAACTCATCTTTCTTTGGAACACTTGTCAAGTAAAGGAAAATGTTAATTTGATAATTATATATCAATTTAAAAAAATCTGCAAGTCTGACTCTGATTGTATAATGTTATTTATCAATTCCTGTGAGTAAGTTATCATTATAATCATTTTGTGTCTAATGTGTTAATTTCACATGGATGAAGTTGTATTTATACATTGCACATACTTACAGCTGCAAAATACATTAATTCTATGTCTTCATTTAGAGGAGTGATAGCATTAGAGTAGAAATTCACTGTCTGCTAAGATATGTGAGTTGCTCCATTAGTGGACAGCTGTTTGAGACTAAGCTTCCTATGTTTCCAAGGCTGTGGCTAATGCACAAAGGGGGCAACTCCTTCCCTCTACAAACACTTTTTAATAACATATTTTTGTCCTTCCCTTTAAACTATTTTTAATTCATCTGCTACCCTGTATCCCATGTATTGAAGAATGGAAATATTGAAAAAAATGTTTTTGTCACACTTGTTTTTTTGTACACTGATTTACAAAGTATATCTAGTATACCTAAAGTATACCTAAATCAAGCTCTGGTGGTGTTTTGCTCTTAATTTCTGGCTAAACAGGGATCCATCAAATTAAGTATATTCGTGAATCTACCTCAATTGAAATCTGCTTTTTTTTTTTCCTTTTACCAACAGTGTGTCAAATCCAATTACGGTATGTCAACAAATAGAGTGTCAATTTGATAATACTTCACCCAAATTGCCAGCAATTTGTCTCTTGGCTGTTCATTACCATGTTATTTACTTTTAGTAACTAAATAATTTCTGGTTGTAATCTTTAAACCTTAAGCTAGTTGATCATTACATGAAACAATTTATTTATTCAAATTTTTTTACACCTAGTAGACTCACCAAGATGGTGGTACAATTTTAAGATATTTTGCTCAAGTTCTGTAATAGCAGAGTTGAATTTTTGATTTGGACTTGTAGCAATGTGCTAAACATTTATTTTGTGTAGGAAAAAAATAACAAGCAGAGGACAATTAGTACTCAAAAAGTATGTACCAATATTCTCAAGTGGCTAATTTTTCAACCACATTGATGGGACATTGGTGGTAATGCATTACAAAAATTTGCAGTACTGGTCAGATCTTGAATTCCCAATCGAAAGTTAACATTCCATTACAACCTGTACAACTTCAGTCTATTTTAACTTTTGTGAGAGCATTTACAATCCAGGGAAATGTGTTTCATACAATGTAGATTTTTTTTTAGCAATGCTGCTTTCACAGGTGGCATGACCACAAGCATGTGAATCAAGGTATGCATAGCACTTAATATTTATTATTTCTCAGAAATTATTTGATTGGAAGTTTTAGTTGGAATGTTTTGTAAACAAAAAAATCAACAAGCAAAAAATAAAAAGACAACACGATCCTTTGTAATCACCATCACTTCCATTGTAATCATCATCATCATCACCATCACATATATGTTAGTCAGACATGCTGAACTTACTGGTTGATAGACATGTAGATGGCTATAACTGAAATTCAGCACTTTGTTACTTCTTATCTTGTGTGCAAACTTTCCACTGAGAATGAATAGAGCATCTAGCATTTCTTTGCACACCAAACTGGTTTCATTTAGAGTTGCCTTTTACTTTGCAAGTTCTAAAAACCCTTAGTGGCAATCTTGTGACAGAGGAGTCAGAAGAGTACAGAGGTGCAGTTGTTTTGTTTAGAACTCAAGAAAATGGTGAAGCTTTTAACTTTGTTAATACACACAGCTATGCAGAACTGCCCCCCATCTCTTAATGAAGAATTCATGTGCAAATGATGTTAAGTTGAGTTGCATGGTTTGATTTTTTTTTATGGATCCAAGTTACCCAGCCTTTATGAATTACTTTTTAACACCATTTTCCTGGAAATTTTGGTATATGTCATCTTCATCTTCTCTAAGTTTTGTGGCATCCCAGATTATTAGGCTGCCATCATGACAGCCACTGTATAGCCTTCCCCTAGTAGCCTGAAAAGTAACATAAAGGACAGCATTATACATGAAAGGACATAGCAATATTATCTCCTTTTTAGTGATTACTCAAAATCAATTTATTGTGAATTAATTTGAATATTTTTTTTAATAATCTTCAAGATTAAGGTCATTTTCTTTTGCAGAGTATCATCTCAGTTTGGAACAAGCATATGTTTGCATAAGGAAAAGGACAGTTGGATGAAATGGAGCAAAATGATGCCACCAGGTACCCAGTGTTTTCAGTACATAATGATGATTTAATAATTGGGCAATCTTGGCTAGAACACCTTAACACTTCAGAGTCTATGTCTCCATAATGTTAAACATGTTTGAAATTCTCAAGAATTTTTTTTTTTAATAATTATGTTGACCTGTACTTGAGATAACAAGCAGAGAACTCAGAGTATCTGTGAAATACAATTTATGGAATTTATGGGTTGGATTCCCATGGAAGCCTGAATATTTCCAGGCTTCTTTTCTGCAATGACATCATTGAGATTAATTCTTTATTCTTCATGGAGGATTATCTTAGAATTAGGATACAATAACACTTAAAATGACTCACCACAAAACAGTTAACTGGTCCTGCTTCTATACCTGCATTGAATGTTCTTTTACACATGCCAGATTTGGACTCGTATACTTTGAGGGTCTTGTCTCCACTGCAGGTAATTACTGGGGAGAGATTGGACAATACAGGTTTCTCAGTAATCTTAAGTTGTCTTATCCCCCCCCACTCCCCTTCCCTAGGCCATTATGTCCCCCCCCCCATTCCACTCAGTAGAAGTCAAGTGAATGAGTGGAAATTTTTTCATTTAATTGTGTAGGTCATGCACATCTTACAGTTCACAAGGATTACCCAATATTTGTGCCAAACATAAAAAAGGAATGCTCAACCAATATATAATTACATAATTTTTGTTGTTGTTTTTTTTTGTATTCCTCCTTGCTCAGTTTGTTAAGCACTTGTGTGAGAACCAATTGGATATCACTGGCTTGAAATGTCAGTTGTTTAAGTGCTGCACCTATTGCAGGGCTTTTATTGGTTCAATTTCTATTATTGGTGGTATGCAAAGCTTAAACACACTCCTTCTTCTATAAGAATTTAATATTTTATAAGGAAAAGTATGATTTTTGCTCATTTCCCTTAACAAAGCCAAAATAGTATCATTTAAACTAAGTTATTTTGATTGAGTTTAATCAATTATTCATAAGAGCATAGACTACCTCTCAGTTATGAACTCAGCAAATGCCATACTAAGCACGTGAAAATAACTTGCATATTAACTTACGTAGGCCATCGGAGAATTGTAGATTCTTTATTGTATGTTTGTGTCCCTTGTACGTCCGCGTACAGTCACCAAATTCAATTACCCAGCATTTTGCCGTTTGATCTGCACTACAGGAGTACATCAGCTTGTTGACAACCTTCAGATGTAAATGAGAAAATACTTCTATGGTACACTCAGACTAAGTACTAAAACGATAAAGTCTGCTGATCATTCTAGTAGTCTTCACTGTTGGATCTTATCTTGTTTTCGTGCAGTATTAAGAATTAGGTGTATGTATCTCCCTACATGAATATTAGTAAGTAAGTAAGAAACCTTTATCAATGTGGTCAAGTATACTTAGCTCATAACAGTATTGTGAGTATTGTTTCTTTCTGGGTATTACCATACACAAAAGAAAAGATAAATAAATGAAAAAGAAAATTAATCACAATAGTAATGATAATTGAAAATAATAAATCTATGAAAAGTATTAAAAGAATGTAAACCAAGTTGATGTTTTGTTTCTAACTAACTTTTTGCCTGCTTCTGTAAGGAGAAATTACTTTATAGTCACACCTGGGAGTGAAAGGGTGAAGGCTGAGAGATAAACAAGGCATTATTTAGCTGATTTTAAAATAAATCTGCTATAATATGGAATTTTGTTGCTGTATTCTCTAAATCAGTCTTAAGATAAAAAGATGGGAGATTTGATGCATTTGAATATTTAAATGAAACTAACAGCTGATTGCTAAAAAATTTATTTCTATATTCTTATTGCTACAGTTTAAAGTCCTTATTTCGATACCAGTATTGTAGTAAATTCTCAGTGACCAAAGCGAAGTTTTGGTAACAGTAATGTCTCACTTAAAAGCTGGTTTGTGCTTATGGCAAAGTGTGGGTATTAAGCTAGCAAGCTGTTACATGCATCTGCTCCCACACTCTTCAAAGGTTATGTCATTAATATTTAAAATTTGACATTATTTCTGGAACTGGATGCGATCTGAATTCAAAATAAAGAACTGAAAATGGACCATTTTGATCAGAAGGCTACAGACAACAACAATAAAAAGCAAAGTGGAGTTGGTGGTTTCAAATTTGTTTTGCAACTGATATATGAAAGCCCGCTTACATGCAAAGTTAAATGAAGTGCAAAGATGGCCTCCAGCAAGGATGCTTGTATACACGTGTTTATAATATTGCAGTCTATCAGTGTTATTTTTCTGTGTTCAGGGTCCGTTTTATGGCAAATCAACGAAAAACAATGTCGACAACGCCAACAGCGCGTCCTACGTAGGAGTTTTCGAGGCAAACTCACTAATTAGGAAAATAATTATTGAAGCAAATGACGACACCATTTTTCTCATAAGTCGGCTTTCTTTGACAAAGCAGATTCTCCTTTTAAGCTATCGGTGTTAACACTTGTCACCACAAATAATTCATAGACAGGTCTGCAAGTAGCTTGCAAAACCAACATAAAAGCGTAATGAAATTGAATGCATATTGCTAATGTTTCCACGACAACCAAGCCTTTTGGCGCAAATTAATCAGGCAAAATAAAGAAAGGCTCACATATCATTCCTTGTAACAAACTAAGCGATACCACAAACCCAATTCGTTTAGCGTGCACTGTACATTTTTAAAAAAGTCAATAAACACAATGGCAATTCGGCAACAGTGGAACGATAATAAGTTGTAAGCCATTGAATTTCGCGTAAGACTAAGGTTTTACAGGAATAATTATAATTTATTGAAATAAAACACCCTGAAGCAGAAGAAGGAAAACTAAGAAATAGCCCAAATTTAATGGGGTTACAGCGCTTCTTTTGTTTTCCTTTTTCCCTTTTTTGTTTGATTCTTATTATTCACATATCCAAGCCGATAAATACACACAGAAAACAAGCTATCATGTGAAAAATTTGTTTGTCGTCGGCGATTGCATTTAGACAGCATTTAGAAACCACAGAGTGTGATCAAATGTAGACGGAGAGATGTCATCGTGTCAATTTTTATCGCAAGATAAATTTTTAAGTGAAGTACTTTTTTTAACCAAGATAGTGAATACTCTAAGAAGAAGTAATTTCGACAATCTTAATGCTTCGTAATAGCACAACAGAATTCAACGAAGCGATAAATTGACATAGAAAGGGAAAGCTCCGTTGGTGCTTGGGTTAAAAATAGGCTTTCAGAAAACAGATAATTTCCGCGCTCTCAGAAAGCCGCCGACATAAAAAAAATCGGCTTAAGAAACCAGTTTGTAAACCAGATGCATTCGTAAACGACACATGTTATTTAAACGATCACTGTTTTCAGAAATTATAGGCTTAAAACGGCTTTGTCATTTCTAATGGATCCTTCAACTGCATTATTATTCATAATTTGAAATTGCATTCATAAACAAGTTCAGGAAGTTTTTCGTTGATTTGTAAGTGTAAACTATTTCACAATTCATTCTTAAAAGGACAAGAATTATATAGGAAAATAACTGGGTATTTATTAAATTATCGTATTCCACACTTAATTCGCGTACCTGTAGCTGTATAATAGCGCCTTGGTGACCCTGAAAAGTCTTTATGGGAGCTCCAGTGAGAAGATCCCAAGAACGAATCGTCGAATCGGCCGAACCAGTAAATAAAGTTTTTCCTTTACCATCCACGGCTAAGCAGTTCACTGCTCCGCCATGTCCTTTGTAAGTAACGAGGCATTCGTTTGAATTCATTCCCCAGCTCTTAGCTGTTCCATCGACCGAACCAGAAATGAGAATGTCATCATTGTTTTCCAAATCTGCTGCGAAAGCCGCTCCACGGTTTGAATCCGACACTAGTAACAGCGGCGTCACCGAAAACCGGTGCCCGCGGAAAGTTCGTAAGCATTCACCTGTGTCTGCATGCCAGCATTTCACTGTTTTGTCGTAAGAACTTGAAAACACTAAGTCCCCTGAGCAAATTACGCGATTTACATTTGAAGTGTGGCCGAGAAATGTTTTAATGCACGCTCCGCTCTCTAAGTTCCACTTTCGAACAGTCTTGTCGGCCGAACTGGTAAATATATACCTTTCCGAAACACACACGCTTATGATATAACTTTTATGGCCATGTAATAATCCTACACACTCTTCAGTCTTTGTATCCCAAAGGCGACCAGTCTTGTCTTCAGAAACGGTGACGATCGTGGTTCCATCATGGCTCATACAAATCGCGTTTATCGCTCCCTCGTGTTCCTTAACGCTTTTTAACAGGTACCCGTCCTTTTTTCCTTTCTTCTTCGTCGGTGTCGCCGGCGTTTGAGTTTGTTTTTTTGAGATTCCACTTCCCATGATATATTGTATCGAGGCAGAGCAGTCAATATTCTTCTTGTTGAAACGCGCTGCAGATTATCTCATTCTTGGTAGCCATTATACGTTGTCTTTAAAGTTAGCCTTCGATCAGAGAAATAAACGCGTTTTGGAAAACCATATCAAGTGGAAGACGTGCAGAAGGAAGAAACAATTATGGCGATTTTCGACTTAGAAGTCCCATGAAACGAAAATCCTGGACTTCTGATCCTTGTAGCGCGCTGACCTGCAGTAAGAACGAATGAGGAAAATGCATTGGAAACAAGACAAACAGTGCAACTCTGTCGTTCTTGCGGTGTTTCCTGAGTTACAGGAATTTGTAATGAGCTTGAAACAATGTAGTTTAATTAGAGGAGTTGCTATAGTAAGATCTTGGCCATCATTGGCCGACAGTAAGTTTCAAATTAGAATTTTCCCGTCGAGGTGTCTAATAGGACTTATTTTTGTCCGTCAGGATAATAAAATTACTTTTGTCGCAGCAAAACTAGCATAAATCGTTTCCCAAAATCTGCAGGAGAAGATTTTAATAATGTGTCAGACATGTAACTATAACGTTTTGTGAAAACAATGGACCGAAAACAAAATAAAACAAAACGTGACATAGATTGCTGTATTTCGAAGTTATTTTTAGCGTTTTCTGCGCTCGCTATTTCTATTTTCTGGTTTTTTCCCAAGCGATAGGGTTTTAATTTGAACGCGCTTGGCGATCAGACATATCAGCTTTCGGCTTTGGGAAAGCTTGGCAAGATGTTATCTTTAAGTGTAAAATGCTCTAATGTAATCAGAAGACCCCCAACCGGGAAATTCAGGGCATTAGAAGTTGAAGTTATTGTAGTCGTGTGATGGGGTAGTCAATTCGAATTGTAGTCTTTGCTGTTCAAAATGAATCCAGCCACTTTGAACGCAATTGATAGCAGAATTAACAAATCGAAGGATCTCATTGCGGAAATCATTTCCCAACCATGGACTTCCCGGAAAGAAAGGAGTATGTGTGTAGCTCTCTTATAAAGGATTGGAAGCAATTTTTGGCCGTGGATTTTAAGAGGTTTGTGATGAACCATGCACAAATAATCAAAAATTTTTCAACCTGGTTGTCATGGTGATCACTTCAGGTAAATAAGCAGTACCCCTTTAACGACAAGAGATGCGTCGTTAAACGTGGAACAAACAAACATAGATGAAAACAAATAAAAATTAACTAAACTGAATTTCTCCATAAAGGTTCGGTTTCAGAGGATTCGTCGATCAACTTGAAAACAAACTATTGTTATCGTTTCCCAATAAACATTTTGAAAACATAGTATCAATACAAGAAAGCGAGATTTAGATAATTAATAACAGTAATCCTCGATGACAGAGGCGATGGAAGAAATATAAACTTTGGAAACAAGACTAAAGAATGAGAGGGAAAAAAGATACCTTTGACGATAAATTCCCTGACGAAGCTGCTTTTTTACTTTACATAGTCGTGGGAAATCTTGTGACAGAAGCTCTGATTCTTTGCCTGTGTTGTCTTATTTTCGTTTTTTTTTCCGGCTTTCCATTCGTAGAAAGTTTTAATCGAAGGAAGTCTTTACTGCTCACGTCACGTTCTCGATTTAGCCTTGTCAATATTTTGTTTAATTTGGGGACACGATCACCTGTCGCAGAGTCACTCACTGGTGTGCCAGTTTTAATTTGGCATCTTTGCGAACTTGAAATTGTCAGTGGCCTCGTTCCATGTAAAATGGAACGTTTGAGCAGATCATATCTAAAAGAACCTTCTAGGGGGTTGATAATGCTGGAAGGCTTGCCACAAAACGCGGGTCTCCTAAAAGATTTCCATAATTTTCCTACTTTGCCGTCTGTGTTTATTATTGGTTATTTACGTAGATCTTTTGCCTTTTACGCAATATTTAAGCAGCGGTTTGCGCACTATTCACGCGCTTGATCGCTAAATAAAAAGCTGAGGTAGCAGGAGAAAGAAATCGAGATGTCGCATATGGTGCGGATTTTAGAATTTTTAAATACTACCTTGTGGTTTAGGAAATACTTTAATTATTTTTATGGTATTTTGTCGGAAGCGTCAGCTGCGCTACCCCCTGGCGTTGTTTTAAAGGAGTAAATTACAGGCTTTCAAGAGATCTGCATTTTAAGTTCGATTTTCGTGGCTGAAATGAATTAACAACGACGTGTTAGCTTTGTGCCCAACGTCATCACATGTATTTGTTTCCGTGGTCGACAGCAGCTGTTGTAAGGACTTGAAAACTATTATTTTAGGAAAGTTTTGTCATCGATTGTAAACGAAAACTTACAGGTTCGGATGTATCTCTGACGAATTTCGCACTGGACAAGACAAAAAAAAAAAAAAAAAAAACAGCATTTTTAAAAGTGGTTAATTATACAGATAATTAAATGACGGCCAGAAAGGATGATAAATGAACTTTTCTAATCACCATAGCTACCAAGTTCAATTTTTCTTTCAGTGCAGTTTGTAAAGTGAACTTAATCAATAGAAAAGTAATTTTTCATTAGCGAAATACATTACGAGGAATCAAAAAGACGGTGCATTCAATTGGGAAATTTACTAAAGAATCGACCTAAAGCTTCGATCTTCTCCTTGGTTAGTTTGTCTGGTTTAAGAGCTTTTTCTACAAACACTTGTGTAATATTTTAATGCCAGCACGTCTGTATTTTTGTTTAACGCTAGCAATTTGCATTTTCGGTTAAGTGCTTAACTCAGCAGAGGCTATTTTGCGTGTGTTGTTTTTTGTGTGTGTGTGTGTTTTTTAACTTCCGCTTAGTAAGACAACTGATTTTCACGTCGGCCTTAGGGATGAAAATGGTGTCGACTTTTTAATCAGTGTTGGTTTACAAGCGGCCGCGCAGAGGGATTTTACTAATCGCGGCATGACACGCTTAGGTTTTAAAATTGCGCACTACTTTCAATCAGGCATATTTTGTTTGATCTCGGAAAAAAGGAATTAAAATAATTTTGGTCATAGGTTTGCATGTAAATGAGTAGTAATTTACACGTGTATGATACGCAAAAGGCCATGTAAGTTGAAGTGTTAAACTTCAGTCCTTCAGAAGATAATCTAATAGCAAATATCGTTTCTGCTTTATCGATGCTCATCCTACTCTTCTGTAACTTTTGAAAAGATTCCCCGTTAAACCACCACTCTTCCTCTTTTTCATGACAGCGACCGTCCCAGGATTGCTTTTAGCCCACGTTAATTAGCGATCAACAAGAAGGAGGCCTTAAAACTATTGTCAATCAACTTTGGACGTAAGAATTTATTTGGTGATTAAATTTAACTCCCAGTCATGCAGGTAATGGAACACTTGCGTCCAGTCACGAAATTAGCTTTTTCTCCCTCTTGATCTGCCGAATCACGATTTTTTTACGATTTAACCATAGTGTTCAGCGTTTTCTCTTTCCATCTACAAAAATAAAGTATTAAAATAGAGTTTGCCAAATGCGTGTGGTGATATTTAGATTTTGTACTAAACACTTAATACTAATCGCTGCCCGCGTCCGACCAAATTTGTGCTTTTCTCGATCACCCACAGTTTTGGGTGATTAAAAGTTGTTTTCATGTCATTAGTAGCCCACGTGTGAGAACTTATTTCGTCCCATATAGCAGGCATACCTTTGATTTTAGTATACCGCCGTATCATATGATTATCTTATTGCTGTTTTGGAACCCGCAGGGCAGGTGAAGTGCCGGCAAATGATCACAGGTTACCGCGTTTTCCTTTAGTATTATTTCTCTTCTTTTTTTTTTTATTGCAAAGCTTAAAGAGAAACTATATGAAATAGGCGTGATATTTCCTTTGGAATTTCCTCAGGTCCCTCTTTTGTCCTTGCGGAACACCTGTGTATTCTTTTTCGGTTGAGTGTCTTGGTTGAGTGTTACAGTAAAAAAAAAAAAAAGGTGTTTGCTACAGTTTTAATACTATTCTGTTTCGCGAACGAGCTGTTCAAAGGATTCTACACCCTTAGCAAACAACCTAACGGACTCAGGTAACAGTAGATCAACGTATTATTGATAACCTTTCAGGGTAGATTTATAAAGATGTGTTACCTCTAGCGCACCAACAGGCATGAAATTATGTTAGTTTTTTGTCATGCTGCAGTAAAATTATCATCTCAAAGAAACGACATTCCATTTCAGAAAGAACCAGACGACCGATCGTTTCTTATTTTCCCCTCTTGACCTCGCCCGTCATCACACTTAACCCTTCAGTTTGAGACTTGACCAGTGAATAATTTCTCCTGACAATGTCAATATATTGCTAAGCAGAAAGGTGATGAGACCGATAACCTTATTCTCAGAGTCAATACTTAAAGAAATATATGGCAGATAGTGAGAAGATTTTAGGAGTGAAAGGATAAAAAATTTACTAGGTATTGGAAACACCAGGTAACCTCTCTCCAGCACAGCCCGTACGCAACTAACGCTCGTTCATACCTGGACTCTACTCGTGAGCCGCGACTCAAAAGCGAGGCTAGGGACCGGCTCGATTAGCCTATTTCGTACATATAGTAGACTAATAGACCACAGAACAATCTCTCTATTTTTGTGCCAATATCACTTTCAATCTCCGGGCCACCAACTTGGCTTGGCGTGATGAAAACAAAATGTTACTCGGTACTAAGACGAGGAGTTGGCTTTTTGACTCTTCGCCCCCAAGTCGAGAGAAGTTTTGGCATTCCTTTAATTCCCCCACTAACCGATCTCATGACAGCCTTACTGATGTATTCCTGTAAACAGTTATCCTGCAAAGGCTTGTATGGCTCATGTTACTAATGACAATTAAATCGATGCATCAAAGGTCAAGGCTCGGAGAACTAGTTTCCCCTGTCACTTCTGTCTGATCTCTTTCGTTGTAATGTATTACATGTTATCGTGAGAGGCAAGCTGTGGTATAGGGAAGGTTTTCCAGGGTGGGTAGAGGAGTTTTTAGTTCAGTTTCGTTCTTCGTCCTGGATTGCCTTAGATTTAGTTTACTTGGCTCTTTCATCGTTCTAGAAAACTCACTCCCTACCCTCAACCAATTAGATGCCAAACCAACACCGCTTGTGACATGCTCACTCTTTCCCACACTCGGGGTCCTAAGTCCGTCTTGAGTGTGCAACCCTTCCAAGAGTGGAATTTTTAAACGGCGAATACAAAAGCACTCTATCCTCACTAATACTCTGAGATGCTCTTTGAAATTGAATTTTTTGTGTATTGTTTTGAAGTTGGATAAATAGCTCTCAGACCAGTGCCACTCTGTTACGCCATACAAGACTTCGAAATCCTCCTTTTGCGCGTTGTTGTTGTTGTTGTTTTTTTCCACTCGCAGCATTTTCTCTAAATCTTATTTGTCGGTTGTCTCTGAATCCCAGAAACAGCCGATCGAGGAGGCCGTATAAGGCGAAGTGGACGAATGGAAGGTCCGCTCCTGATTCGCCATTTATGCTTGTTTCCCTCAGAAAAGACTGGGAACGAGTGAAGAATTCTCTCGCTTTAAACAGTAAAGTCGTGTTGTAGGTTAAAGAATGCTGTTTGACGTAAAGACCAAATGGCGGCGGCAACATTGATATAGATTGGAAAAGTGTTTATTCGCTATCTTTTCGTACAACATTAGAATCTAAACCTAGAGAATTTCAGTTTAAAATTTTAAACCGTATCGTCTTTACAAACGAAAAAATGTTTCGCCGTCCTGTGCTTTCTGCCAAACAGAGGTTGAATCCGTAGAGCATTTGCTCTTTTCCTGTAGAGTATCATCTAGTTTTTGGAAACATGTCTTGTCCTGGTTGCGCGATTTTAAAATCTCTGTTGATAACCTAAAGAGGAAGATGTCATTTTTGGTAAGTTCGATATTGCAGAAGATTTTCTCCCGTTCAACCATATTATACTTCTGGGTAAATTTTATATTTACTCTCGGAAATACCAGAATGGTATACCTTCTCTTCAAGGTTTTATAGACAGGACAAGGCGTGTTCACAATATCGAACTCCATATTGCCGGGAAAAGAGACAAATTAAACAATCATTTTAGAAAGTGGGAAAAGTTAATAAGCGATTTTTACGAATGAGTGATGTCATGATTAATTTCCATTATTAGTTTTAAAGTGATGTCATTGTAACTTACATACAAGGTAACCGTAGTGCTGTAATAGCTTTGTGTGTGTGTGTTTTCCTCTTTTTTTTTTTTTCTTTCTATTTTGTATGTAAACGTAAGAAATGCTTTAATAAAAGAATAATTAATAAAAAATGGCGGCGCTTAAAACGGAATTGCAATTGTAAATTGACGGGTAAAGGGGTTTACTAAATTAAGAACGGGATTTGTATGGGAGATATTTGCGGTCCTCGAAGAAATAACTGATAGAAATATTGTCACGAACGAACATTTTTTTTGAAAATTTTCGGAACGAAGGAGTATGCAGGATGCTCTTCTCATATGAACCTGGTATATCAGGTGTATAGCCTGATTTAACACTAAGTTAGTCTCTGTGGCTTGGTGGTAGAGCGTCGGAGCGTGACGAGGTTTGATTCCTCTTTAGGACTCAGAAGTTTTTTTGCGTCCTACGCTCAAGTCACGCTCGCGTCAAGGCTAATTAACATACCCCTTATCTGTCCTACCCATGTAGGGTTTTTCGTTGTAAAATTGTTTTCTACCCGGAATAAGTTTTGCTCAACGGATATGAGTGTGTTAATGCAGGTCTCGCTGAATTTAATAATGTCGACCCTCTGTCAATCACAGATCGTAAGTGACACTTTCCTTTTAATTACCTCAGCGTCATGTTGACGCCTTTAATTACTGCTCTGTTATTGCCCTTCGGAGAACCTACTTATTACCAATGAGATTTAAATAATTTTGGTATGGTTTTAATTCAATAGGAAATGATAAATCTTCTTCCTGCTAAGTTAATTTTCGAAGTCTCCTGTTTATAATCGTACTCACTATGAACACTGTTAACTCTTTTCAACCTTAGGGTGGGAGTTCAGATATCGAGCTTAATGGCTATATTTAAATTTCCTGTTTCCTTTAAACTAGACAAACTTCTGAATCAATTAACGGATGGTTATGTATTACTAACAGACATGTTTTCTTAAACAGGTAAAACATAGTTGCTGATTTTGTTAAAAATAAGATGACGCCGTGTTAATACAAGTTGAATGAAACGTTTCCTTTAGTGTTGCACTACCCGTAATTTTTGGTGCAACGAGTGCAATTTCTGTCGCGAAGTAAGCGCATCGTAACAGAACATCGGAGCGCGGAATCCGAATGTTTGAGGTTCGATTCCTCACGGGGACCGATAATTTTTTCTTTGTCCCACGCTCGTGATAGGAAGAATAAATATCTTTAGCAGTTCTATCGTTTTAGTTGCAGTACGTGAAGGTCTTCGCCATCCTTAGCAATTCTCGTTACCGTTCGCTTTATCTTTGTTTCTTTGTTTATTTGATAAGATAACCTATGGCGAAGAGGTCCTTCAATTAACGACAATTTTAGTGGCGAAATAAAAGACACAAAAATACTTCCGTTGCCCCACTTTTGCGACCCTGTCTGGTCCTCATCCGACTTTCAGGCGAACGTTTGGAACACCCCCGTGTTTTCATTTTTAAATGGACAGCAGTTGGATAATACATATATTCCTTGTTCCTCATTTCTTTTGAAGGTAACTTTTTTATGGATTTGTGGCTTTTTCTTTTGACTCAGTAGTACTTTTAATGTATACCAGCGTTGTAAAGACATAATGCTACGATGATCTTAGTTAAATCTGTATTATATTAAGCGGCAAGTGGTGTGGAGGTCTATTATTAACTTTTAATAACCTCTGTCGCCAAATATAAAACAGATCTCAAAGGAACCAATGAAAAGAGTCCACTCAGTGAGGAGGCTACCCGAGTGAAATCCCCCGGCGCCGGTCGGTCATTGCACATTTCTGAAAAATAGGGTTCTAACAAAGCATGCAAGGATTAGCAGACTTAGCACTGTGAATGACCAGCGAACGACGAATGAATTCATTTAAAATGAAAAATAGTAAATGATCTGCCTGTTATTTGAACTCCTCAGTAGCAAAAAAGTCGTAAATTTAATTCGCAAGCAACTCAAAATTCCTGAAACATTTCTTAAATGAATTTACGCACGTTTGTTCTTAGTTTTGTAGCGTCGACGAAAACTGAAGTCTGTGGTACATGTTTTTTTAATTCGAACCTGTGATAATAATTTACATTAATTTCAAAGACGATGTATTGTACTCGCCTTTTTGGACATTCAATGGAACAATTTTAATTACTGTTTTGCCAGTATCAAACTTGTAAGGTATGTTTTTAAATAGATTAAGCTTCTAGAGTTTTGTTGTAGAAAGCTGAAGCAGCATCGCGTTTCTGTAAGTTTTTACCATTTTAAGCCAAGTCGGCGACATAGCATCTTCAGAGCATTAAGCCAATGATTTTGTTGTTTGCACTTGCTCTACAGTAGCGTGACATTCGTTTGTTTATTACTTCCAAAGCAAACTTCAGTTTTATTCTATTTCCCGACAGTCGCGCTGAAGTTGTAGCTCCAAACTTAGGCACGCTAAGTTGAATGGCCAATCTTTGGAGCGTAGCTCGAAAATGGTTCCTGAAACAGAATCCGCGGCGCAATGTAACACCCCGCAAAATTAGTACAGTCTTAGAGATTCTACAGAACCAAGAAGAGGCTAAAGATCACGTTTATTATGATGCCTTAAGAAGAATTTCAGCCTCCAAGGTTAGTTGGTTGACAATTTAATTCCTTGCGAAACTTGCTTTTGTTTGTTCCTGTTGTAAAAACGGTCGTGGTTTGTTTTTCGGATGGAATTAATCGCCGACTCCATATTTTATTTGCTTCAAGTGCGAATAAAGATTTCTTCGGAAGAAAAACTTGCCAGCGAGTTTGCTTTCGTTATTGATGAGTTCGGCCGGTGTGAACAGACACCAACTTTGAATTCACGATACTGAATTGAACTTAGTTAAGTTCAGAAAAGTTCTCTACGACGTTGGAGACGGTGTTGTGACTGCTGAGTTCCTCTGGACTGACAGCCAGCCATATCGAAACAGCGTTTGATTTACATTCTTTTCTCAGTGTCATAAGGTGCAGTGCACAGGCTGACTACACAACGCGAAGATTTTGAGAAGCGGCCCTTAATTTTCAAACGAAGCTTCATGGCTTGCTCTTCTAGCAGGACCGTGTTAGTCCCTTCTTGAAATTACAAGGTGCGACAAGACATAAAGAGATGTAATATAACTCGTTGATTGTGCGCTTTTATAACTTCAGTCGTATCTGTGTACCTCTGTCTTTGGATGCTAGTACTAATTACAGCACAAAATCTAAAGCCGCTCGGGTGAATCAAACCTTTTTTATTTTTTCTTTGTAAGATTTTGAGCTTCAGTTAGGATGTTTTTGTTTTCTCCGGTAAAGAAATTATAGACAAAAGCATAAGTATTCCGTTGTGTTCGTGGATCAATTCAGACGTCAAACTCTTATTGAATAATTATTTTTCGACCGTTGTTTGTTTGATCCAAGGCAATCATGCAGTAAAGGTCATTTGAATTAAATGTCAAAGTTTTGTTATAAGCGCAACGTGGATCCAATTCCTCCCTAGTCTTTGTCGTGTGGGTTTCTTATGTCCTGTAGTATTAGTAAAATATCCTAAGCAGAAAAAGTAATTTTAATCCCGGCAGATTTTTAAATTAGCGCTTATTTGTTAATGTGTGCTGTTTACTTTAGAATTCGTACGAAATTGGATTTTATGCCAAAATTGAGAACCAGGGGATGGAGGTGTAATTGAAAAATCGGCTTTTAATTTTGACAGTGTGCTGATAACAGCCTGACACTTCAGTGCGTTTTAGTGGTCTTTGTCAGGTGAATACAACAGAATGAGCAGTGATGTCTCCAATCGGCTCGTTCACACGTAATTGAGTATATTTCTGGCACATTCTAAACACTTTGCTCTCATAGTTTTCGTAACTGAATATGACAGGAAAAACATTCATGTGTCCAGCTTGTTCGCGTATAGTTTACTGAAGTTTTTCCGCATCTTAGACACTTGGAGAATTACATTTGCATGTGCGCTGTCGCAACACACTAAACAATGAGACAGATCTGACGGAAAATATCGACAGGCAGTGAACAATCTTCTTAACTCACTGAATTCTTCTGTTGCGGAGTGAATGTTGTCAAGTCTTAGGTCACTGGCATGTTGAGCTTACGTAGCCCTTGAAACTGCTAGTTAATGTTCCACCGTTCCCCAATATGAGGACTACCAATTGAAAGTTCCCTTTTTAAATTTATCCTCTGATTCTTGAGTTGTTGATTGCAATTTTCTTTTATTGGTGTGAAACATTTCCAGGTAGATTCGTGAAGAGAATTTTTAGCCATATCAGGATATCACCGAATCATTTATTTGATAACTCAGTTTTATATTCTCATTAAAAGTTTGCTAGGAACTGTATTAGTACTTAAGGGAGAAGCGTCATGTTAATTGCTTTTGTAGCTAAGGAGTAAATAGCGACGTGACAATAATTTCTCGAGCTCTTAACCTTTTGTTCACCAGTGACGCATTTTTATTATTAATGTTTTTATTTTTTCGTTCTTTTCTTTCCGGTGAAACTTCAAGGATGAAAAACCTACGTAAGTAGAAGTATGTTTGAACTACGGAGAGCACTGCTTTCCTTCTAAAGCATTAACTTCTTCTGGCATTACTTGCTCTGTTTGTCAACTTCCTATAGGAGGGTGTTGGGAATGCGCGTGGGCTTAGTTTTATTAAGTGATTTAAAATAAACGAAAATTTGTGTTGTGGCTGCTTGAATACTTGTATATGTTAACGTTACATGATTATGCGCGAACGTTACGTTTTTCAGTGTAGGCGTTGGATAGGTTTTTTGTTGGTGCTCGAGAAAAAATCTAAGCACCGTGCCTAGGCACGGGCACTTCCCCAGGGGTAGTACTCTGACACCTTTACCATGCATGCTAACTTGTCTAAACACGGTTTCGCCAGTACCCGTGCTGTTTGCCATGCTTCCTTGCCATGCAGTCACTAAAATTACTGACTTCAAAAACGACGTTTAACACCTAGCTTCGCTTCCACATGAGTGTGAACATGCTCGTTCCAGGGTACCAGGTTGGCTGGACAACGTCTATTAAGGTGCTCGGGCAAGGTGTCGCGGAATATGCATCCAGTCTGAACGGGGCGTTAGCTACTTGTGCTTACATGCAAGCCTACTTCTTTGCCTTGATTTGATGACAAGTCTACATACATTTATAAATTTACTTATATATTTAGAAATGGTTGCGCTAAAACCAACTCCTTACAAGAAATCCAGGAGGAATACAAAGAGCAAGCACCACTCGTTAGTAGGAGATCTCTAGTCAACAAATACCTTCTTTCAATTCGAGAGCCTATCGGAAAGGTATGACAGCCATGTGCGGTTAATGATACGGTTAATCCCACTGTAAGCATTCCCTTTCTTTTGAGTGCGGCTATTCGAGGCTTTTCCTTGGCCATTTAAGCATGTTGATATCGGGATCAATGCTGCGGATTTTCATCGTGATGAATTCACTTGCAGTGGACTCGTGTAGTTTGTCTCACGATGTAGTCTCTTTCGTTGTAAATCCCGACGTTTTCTTTGCATACTACTTGCCTTCTTCGCCTGAAAAAAACTATCAGAGTGCACGTGTGATGCACGTCGAAAGTGACTACATCGTGAGACAAACTACTCTACTTCACTACTTTTTCAGCCTGGGTAGTGTCTTTGATAGATTTTTACAATTTCCAAAGAAGTTTTCTAGTTTTGTTTTCCGCAAACTAACATGCCAATTATTGAAAAGAGGAAACTTGTCAAAGAAAACTAGACCACAACTGAGTTGACAAGCTCAGCAATGAAGTGTACAAGGCCAGTTCTACTCTAGTGGGTCTTCCTTGACTGATGTCGTTGGTGAGTGTCACTTTCTGATGTGTATGTGCCGAGGGAGACTTGCTGGAGGAAGAGCAGTGAACACAAAAACAACAACACCAACAAAACGCAGTTTTTGCGCATGATGCGGAGGTAAAAACTGACGTGAGTCTTGAGACTTTCAAAAACACATCTCTTTAAATTTATCAGTAACTTTTGTTTAGGATTGTAGGATTATTAATTCTTCTCTTATTTTCACAACTGCAGGTTTTTCGATCTGAACGACTTGTTGTTGATCCAGAGGATGACATCTACTACATATGGATGGTACATAAAATCCCTTCAAGTTGAATATTAAAATCAATACACCACACAAATTCGCATAATTTCTCTTTCTAACCTAAAAAGAGTGCTTTGAGCTAGTCAGATTTAGCGGCGAACCATTTTCGCTCCTCATGTACGATTATTTATCGACATTCCTTTTATTGTTTATCAGAATTTGCCTTTTAAGACTGAAGAAATTCTTTTGTTTCCTGCAGGGTGTAATTGCAGCTACGGTCATCTACAACTTTTGTACCGTCATTCTTAGAATCGCTTTCACAGAATCATCGGAAGAGGTAGGAGTGATGTGTTGAAATGGGGCGTTGGAAATACGTCCTCAGCTCTTCTTCTTTTGACTTGTCTTCTTTTTACACAGATTTCACCCGTTAACTCTTAGGTGTTTTTATCTTGACCAGCGTATCATTTAGAGGGTGTTGTCTTCATGCAATCCCAATTGCATCAGACCTAAAACGTTTTTTAACGGGAACGTTTTTCTTGTTTAGTCTCTCTCTAGACTCCTTTTCTGGTGGGGAGATGTTTTTGCAGACGGATTGTATGCCTGTGACGTGTGCGTGCAACTAAGAACTGCTTATCGAGATGATCAGGGAATTATGGTACATGGTGTTCTCTTGTCTTCACTGTATTTAGTCGCCAAAGAGAGTTTCAATTAATTCCCATGACTTGATTTCCTTTTTAATAGATTGATGTTCTGATGACTTCAAAGAGTTGACTTCTCCGGTTATATGAGTTCGTCAGACATTTGAACCCTCACGTGGACTATTATACTCCAAATCCCTTTGACTTCATCACTCCATTCCATCTCCCTTTCCTCTTCTTTCTTTGAAGGTTAAGGATCCTGTACAATTATCAGAGACGTATACAAAGAAGAGACGATTTAAAGTTGATATTATTTGCCTTCTACCCCTGGAAACAGTTTCCCGTGTGATATTTTGTGAGTACAGACATAATTTAGGCTCCACCATTACTTTCTTTTAAAGCTGTAACGGGATCTTTGTCGTTCGCATTAAAATCAGACCTCAAGGTTTCTTGAAAAGGCAATGACACATTTTCTCAGGGTTTATAAAGTGATCGCGGGTTTTTGGGATAAAATGAGGAGGAAAGCCTGTTGATCGAGAGCCATGGGTAATTTTCTCGGGCACAAGACACGCTACACTCTCTAATTTTCAACAAGACACGACACACTCTCTAATTTTCTCCGGCACAAGACACGCTACACTCTCCACCAAGGAGTATAAATAGGTACCGTGGAACAGTCCGGTGAACCCGAAAACTGCAGGGTCGGGAGGGAGGGGCCAAAGCTGCGATGTACTAGCATCCTTACTAGGGAAAATGGCAAGATTTCTGTTTTATTTTTTTTTGTCTTTCCATGTCTTCGAAACTTTTACCTTGAATGGGGCACTGAACTTGTTCTTGTCTCTTCTTTATGGTTTTTTATTTTTTTTTATTTTTATTTTTTTATTTTTTTTTGTCTTTCCATGTCTTCGAAACTTTTACCTTGAATGGGGCACTGAACTTGTTCATGTCTCTTCTTTTTGGTTTTTTATTTTTTTTCTCTCTCTCTCTTTACGTCTAGTTCCCTGTCATTTTTCGCTGTTCCGATTATCCAGACTTCTCAAATGGCATTCAGTAGAAACATTTTTCCTTATGAGTGACTATCGAACCAGTAAACCAAATCGCCTGCGGGCTTCCAAACTGATTCTGTACTTGAGTGTGGCCATGCATTGGGTTGCTTGCTTATACTACGCCATCTCTGAGTATGAAGGACTGGGGACTAATGACTGGGTGTACACAGAAACCGTGAAAGGCGGTGATCCACTCTCCAGGTCAGTGGTTTATGCAATAAAAAGTTAACTCCGAGGCAATTATATTTTCAGGAATAAAGTACTCTGAACGTCTTAGCCAGGTATCATATATAAGGGTTGCAATAACTTTTTCTACAAGCGACTGCCGATGGTGTGATAGACGGATGTGCTCGTAAAAGGGGCTGTAAGGCCCCTCTCTCTGAGGGGGATCTGGGGGCATGTTACCCCAAGAAAAAGATTAAACCTAGTGCATTTCGTTATCTGGTAACTGAGTCGAATGGCGAAAGATAATGAACGCTTGTGACATCACTGATCCCAGCAGAAGGCGGTATGGATGTTACTAATTACAATATAGAGAGGCGTACACATCTGACTGATTTGAGTAACGGAAGATAAAGGACGCTTTCCATATTGCTGATCATAGCAGTCAAGAAAAAAAATATAAAACAAAACAAAACAAAAACAACAAAAAGAGAAGACAAAAAACTTAATATTTAAGCTCAGACTCATCGTGAATCAACGACGTTAGTTCTACCAAAACGTAAAACATTTCACTTGTACCCAAAAAATGTAATCAATTCTTTTTGAGAACCCAAATAATGTGTTCCACCGTGGATTTTGCTTCCAAAGAAACTGTGACAGAACTGTGTATCGACATTTAGTATTTTATGCATCTGACAGGAAGTACGTGAAATCCTTTTATTGGTCTGTCCTTACTTTGATGACAATTGGAGAAACGCCAAGTCCCCAGACAAATCTTGTAAGTAAATCATAGACAAATGTCATTGACTGGGCCTCGAGGTAGTCCGGTTCATAACAACAAAGAGGGGAATTTGGAAAATTTCCAGCTTTTCTAACCTCGCGGATCGTCAATGCTACATATATCTCGAGCCTCGGGGAGACCAACAGGAAAAATTATTCGAGAGATCCAGAGTAGTACTATTGTGTTACACTGATTTAGGTTCCATACCCATATAGAAGTTTAAAATAATAAGGTGCACTGACACAATTCAATTAAACAACGCAGTTAATATTTGAGATATCTTGGGTAAAATAACACTCAGCAGTGATGCTGCTTCCATTGAATCAAACTTTCAGGACTCAAGGATCGATCCGCACAAAACCTCCCCGGTCGTAATTTCCATCATCCATAAGACGCGAAGCATAGATATTCATTCATTTCCCACTTTCACAGAACCTTGACGAGAACTCCGTGTGCAAACTTGTACCCTTTACTATTTCCTCACGCATTAACCCCTTACACCCTAACTTGACTTGGCATATTCTCCACACTGCTCGCTATACCTTTCCTATGGTACGCACAGGGAGAATTTGTCGAGCAATCATAACCTTCCTTAGTAGGGGACCTTTTACTTTATTCTTGAGACGTGAATGTTTAGTGAGAAGTGATACTGAAAGGAAAAAATTCAATGCTAGTTGTTAGGGATGAGAGATTAATGTAAGACCTCTCCACTTTTACAAGTCTCGGGAGTCTGGCGTAATTGTTGCGTTCTCACTCGTATCACCTGCAGGAATATATTTTCACTGGCTGTATGTTTCTCCTGGGAATCTTTGTGTTTGCCACGGTTGTGGGCAACGTTGGTGACGTCATTAGCAACATGAATGCGGCGAGAACTAATTTTCAAGCGAGGTACGAAATTCTTTAGTTCGCACTCTACGATTGTAGGAGAGACGCGGTAGCGTGGTGTTTCAAGCAGAAGAGCCCAGACAAAAGGTCTCTGTTCGAGCCTTGGCTGGCTCATCGTGTAGTGATCGTGACACTTTTTTCTCTCAGAGCCTCTCCACATTTAGGAGTGTAAATGAGTAACGGTGAATTGTCGTGATGATTTGTGAGGGGGTGACCCATCCAGAAGGTCAGGAATAGCATCATACTGAGCCGAATCATCTACTGAGACTCGGATAAGCTCTAGTAAGATTGAGTCGTTAAGATTTCCCTTAACTCTGAAAATGATTTTTGTGTGTGTGTTAGGATGGATGCAATCAAGCAGTACATGGAGCATCACAATGTACCTCATATGCTACAAACTCGGGTCAAAAGATGGGCTCATTACGCATGGAGCAGGTCTGTCACTAGAAAAGCACATAGAATCAAAACGTGTTTAATTTTTCTGTTCTATTTTCGATGCTAGACACATTGTCTTCACACAAACAAGACCAGTCACTTCAAGTTTATTTTCTTCCTCACAGGACACAAGCTCTAGACGAAGGGGCGTCTTTGGAAATGCTCCCTGAGAGATTAAGAACTGAGATAGCCATTCATGTGCATCTAGACACGTTGCGAAAGGTACCAGTTATGCCTTGGGTGGTTAACGTCTTAAACCCGCGCATCAGTGTGTGTATTCTCCATTCTGATCATACTTTAGCTCTCTAGAGGTAGATTGTGTTCAGGGAAAGGTGCTGACTCCCTTCGAAAACTATTTGCGCATGACATTTTATTTCGTGTTTCCAAACTTTTGTTTTTACCGCTCTCACAGGTGAAGATCTTCAAGGACTGCGAACAAGGCCTGCTATGTGAATTGGTACTAAAACTTCGACCGCAAATTTTTTCCCCTGGAGACTATATCTGTCGTTGTGGTGAAATAGGTAAAAGATTATGGAACGTGTTTAGATTCAAATGTCTGGGAGCACTCGTATTCATACACCAGGGGGAGTAACAATACTTATCGTTACTTGGTGTTACAGAATCTGGAATAAGCTAAGGGGTCGATCTTGTATATATATTGTGCCTCTAATTGTAGAATGAAATTTAAGGAAAATCTATGGTCGGTATTTATGTAATATGTTTAAGAGGACTTTTGGGGGCTTAATTACAGACTGAATTCTTTATTACCTGTAATCTCTGTTGGTCCTTTTCCCACCAGGACGGGAAATGTATATTATCAACAACGGAAAAGTTGAGGTAAGGCAACGTTAAAAATTCCTCAACCTGTAGTATTGTGATTGTTTTTGTAATTTCAAACATACTCATGCGTGAAATAAGAAACAACAAGGAACGTAAATGACTGTGAATATATGAAAATCATATATGTGAACTGCGGATAAAGACGTGAATTTGAAAGCGGTCTTCGCAGTAATGAACACTATTTGAGCAGTAGTGAATTAAGGCCTGAAAAAAAAAATTAGGCCTGTACGGGATTTGAACCCATGACCTCTGCGATACCGCTGTAGTAACCTACCAAGAGAGCTAACAAGCCAACTGGGAGCTGATCATTATGTTGGTTCCAAATAAACCCGTGAAGTGACGAATAAATGACCGTGAATATATGAAAATCATATATGTGACCTGCACTAGGCGTACAGGCTCTCTTGCATTCAAGAGGTGGTCGGGCTGGTCAGCAAAACTTTTCATTCATTGCGCGGTACTGAAAATTCTCTCAGAACCGAAGTTGCCAATTTAAGAAAAATCCTCAATGGCCCACAGGGTAACGTGGCATCTAAGACTGCTGCGTCAATTGAAATGCTTAACGGCCTTGAAAACCTTCAGCAAGGCTCAGAATTATACTGATATGACGCTCTTAACCTGCTGGGTTGCATGGCACTCGCTGTGGGGAATATTCATTCAGTTACGCATCACAAAGATCAACTTTTCACGGTGTTAGATTACGTAAGAAACTTTGGAAATGCAGCCAAAGAAAGTCTAAAGAGGGCAACCCATTGGGCGGCGTACTATTTTACAAATCCAAATGCTTGGTATCCTGTAACCGAACGTGTCATGATCCTGTAAGCCATACCAGTAATTCAACCGTCACCACCTGTACCGATGGCACCCCAGAGCATACAGAAGATGAAGGACTGGGCGTAAACATTTGTTGCAGTGCGTTAGCGCTCTGTCAGACAGGAAACAACGATGGCAAGAGTTTGAATTCCTCAGTCGTACCTCCATCAGAGAGAAATTCAGCCAAGCGAACCGATCAGCCTCGAACGCTCTGACTTCGAGGAGCAGCGAGAAAACAGTGGGAAACGAGACGAAGGGGAAGGTGGAGTATTAGAGTACGATTCCCCCAAGTGATGATGGGGACATTCCATCTTTAGAACGTGAGGCTGATTTTCACCTCGGAAGAGGTTCCCGCTGAGGAAGAAGTAATCGCTTCGACAGCAGAATTGTGTCTGGTTAATTTTATTTCTCTTGTTACGGCACTATGAGATTGCCGTCACCTTTCGTGTGTTATGCACTTTTTGACATTGATATCCATTTCTTTGATACTGACCTGTCTCTAATAATAATAGGTTTGCATGTGATCGAAGTTAAACGGAAGGAAGTCGTTACCGTGACTACGTACGTTTTTCGTGCAAACTTTTAAAACTTCTTGAATGAACGATATCATCATTTTGGTAAAAATAGATAAACTTACGCCTTACATTGACCATAGACTTCAACGGATCAATGCTGGTTGAGACAATCATCACCCACCCAAAAGGCCCTCCTACGTTTAGGAAATGGACCAAGACAACATTTCATGGTCGGGATTGGGATTAGTCAGTATAAACCGTTGGGATTACGGGGCTGAGATATAGTTTTAGTCGGGATCGCGGAATGGAAGAACTCTATTGGGGACCCTCTATTGATGTTACACTGCTCTCCCGCCTCTCTCCAATTCTCTCCTCTCTGGAATTCTCATTCTACAGTCTTTCTTCATTACAGGTAGTAATACCAGACTCAAACACTGGCGAGGAGGTTGTGGTAGCTTCCCTCACAGAGGGTAACTATTTCGGGGAGATAAGCCTGTTAAGACTCGACGCCGGTAAAAACAGGTTAATGAAGAGTGATCACTTTTAGTGGCACAAGCTTTATCATACCATTAATTTCTGACGCACCTAAAAGTTTAAATGAAGTAGGTAATTTTTTTTTTAACCATATAGACGCTCTGCCGATGTGCGCTCAGTGGGTTACTCGGAATTGTTGTGTCTCTCTCAAAAGGACCTAATGGAGGTAAGATCTCACTTCTTGTACTTTCTTTCAATTCCTTCATTTTCTCCTCCTTTTTAAGTGTTTAACAGTTATTGGTTTGAACCTGGGAATAACTATCGATCGTGTAGTGGAATCGTCTGGTTTAGGGTAGTTTATAATCGGAGTGCCATTGGTGACCGTACGTTATGTTTCCACAAACTTAGTGGAAGTCATCGTCAAATCAATGTATTAATCAATTTTCACGAATCAGACTTTTGAAACCGATGACAAAAGAATCCTCTCTTGGCTCTGGTGTTACGTATAGCAGGTACTCTCGCCAATAAGAGTATTTTTCATTTAATAAATATTAAAGAATATATTATTTACAGGCCTTAGAGGAGTATCCTGAAGCTAAAAAAGTGCTAGAAAGTCAAGGGCGGGACAGGTAAGAAACTAACTCTGTTCGGCGAGACAAGGGATAAGTTTTGGACGAAAATGTTTAATTTTCTTTTTCTGTTTTTTTTGTTGTTGTTGTTGTTTTCTTTGTCCTCTGTTTGTTTGTTTTTACTTTTCCTCTCTGTTGTAATCGGGATTTAGCATGAAAGATAGATGCGTTTTCCCTTGGAAACTTTTTAAATTTTAATCTTTAGTTATAGTTTCACCTGTAGGCTTAAAAGTTTTCTCGTTCTAGATTACAGAGGGCAAGGTCGAGTAACAATCTCTCAATACCCCATCCTGATTCAGAGAGAGAACAATTTCGTAATCTAGAATTCAACTTCGGTAAGTGATTTTTTTTATATCTAGCCATAATACTGTTTCGTGACTGGGGTATGATGCTTGTTGAGCAAAACGACGGCTGCGAATGAGATCACATGATAGAGTATCGTAAAACCAAAACCATAGTATCATCACCGGCCAATCAGAACTAAGGGAAATATCGGAAGGAGCCAATCAGAACTCAAAATAAAAACAAGCCAACCCTCTGGAGCGCAGGAAAACGCGAGTAACCACGTTGTGGTTGGCTGATAAAGTGGCGCGAGTTTTCTGGACCAATCACAGAGCAAAGTAAAGCAAAACCAATGCAATCCAGGATTGCGTTTGACATTCAGTTGAAATACCTTTACATTAAGAGTAAGAGTAACTTGAGAAGGTCTACCCGTGGAAGAAAGACCTGTAAGTTGAAATTTCCTCACAGGTGGGTTCTTTCCTCCATAATGGAGGGCATTATAGCTGATGTGCTAAAATGGTCGAAACTGGGTAATTGGTGATAAAAGTTTCAATATTGAAAATAGTTTTGAGAGTTTACAATGTAACAATAATACTAATGTATGTAATGTGTTTTGATAGCAAAAATGATTTCATTCTCTGATAAAACGTATTAACTGCGATTCTCGTAAAGTGTCTTTTGGAATGACGAGAGAGGCAAGAGTGGCAAGTACTCAAGAAACAATTCTTCTTTTTCATTTCAATCATCCATTTATAGCGAGGGAAATCAGCATCGTCAAAGAACTCTTAGAGGAAATTAAAGAAAGCAAAAAGGAGGTGGGTAAAAATTTCTCGCACCTTTTTATAATACTGAAATGAAAAAAATGGAGCTACAGTTAACAGACGGACGGAGGGATGGTGGGGCTTTTGTCGAGCTTTAAATACATTTGAATCCTTCGCGAAGTTCGATGAATTTGTACAGCTGCCTAGATGTGTCACTTACAGCTGAGACCTACTTAAATGAAGAATTTTAAACTCATCCTTTGAGTGTTGACTGGTTGATTTTTCAGTTCTATAAATGCGAGCCAGTAAGGAGTCTTAGAGAAGAGGTATGCTGTTTCCTTCAATGTGGTTCATAGTCTCTCTAGCAAGCTTAAATTGATATTACCCAATTATCATTTCCTGATTTACTCGCAATTAATGTACACATGTAGTGGCCTTCACAAAATCGAAAGTGCACGATGGGATTATTTTCTGAAGCGCTTTGGGAGCAGTCAGCAGTTAGTCTACTGCACCTGATGGAACGCTATTCATCGCAGGTACCATCTCAGCATTTCGTCAGATTTCCTTGGCCGTTTGCCTGTACCCATTTATAATCCTGGGTCGAGAAATGCAATGTGATAAGAAGTGACTGGGGATCTAACTTTGTCCCAGGCCTTTCGATTAAAAGGCCACCGCGCCTCCTACAGATTGCATGATGAGGTAAACAAAAGTATTTCGACAAATAATCAGGGTTTATTATAAATTACCCCAAAACTGATTTGTTAAGTACTAAATAGTAGCGTCAAAGCTGAGGGCGAGTGTATCTCTGATATCGCAATTACGGAGCCACACGCTTTCCCATGGTGTGCATTCTTTTGACAGATGATCGACTAATGAATGTGGAAGTAACGCTAAAGGGTCATTAAAGCAAACTTCCTCTTCGTCCTTGTGTTTCCCTTGCCTCCATTCCATCCCTTGAAAAGAAATTTAGTTGCTCTCTCGACTTTCCCGCTACTTCAAACATCCAAGATGGTGACAAAACTTTTCACAAAAAAATAGTAAGCGTTCGCTTTTTGCTCTGCCGGCTCCTGTGTTTGCATTGACAGTTATGAAATGTTTACCTAGCTTCTTTTGCGCTTTTCGATGGCTGGTCGTTGTTCATATCTTTATTTGCCGGTAGACTAGAATTTATAGTTAGCTAGAGGCATGTCTGCCTGGTAAAAGTAACGAGGAACCGCTTTTTATAACCTCGCTCGATGATTGGTGTAGAAAACTCGTGTCCCCTCTCAACCAATCATGTGCATAGCTATGACCAATCTCGACCAGTTCATTCGCGTTTTCCGTCGCACGCAGGCCCTATGCCTTTGAATTTTACTGAGTTATCATTTGCTTTGTGATATTCTTATTTGTCCCGACTGGCTTTTGTGATAACTTTGGATTTCATTTTAAGACACTGACGAAAAGCGCTCTAAAATCAGGTTTGGTTTGGTTTTTAGTGCCTAAACTTGAGGGTTCAAATAGAGACGCAAATGGAGGAAATAGAAGAAATTAAACAACAGCTCGCACTGCGAAGTAGATCACCAAATGACGAAAAGAGCCGAAAAAGGTCAAGTGCAGAAGCAAAGACTGCGAGAAGACTGATCGATAAAGTTATTTCAGCCGCAAAAGTAGCTGCGTCACATAATTCTACTAAAACCTTTCAAGAAAGGGATGTTGAGAGTAAGAGTCAACTTATAACAAGTGAAAGTGAATTGCGGCAAAGAGAGGGAATTGCTCGAGACGATGTCCCTGATATATTCGTAGAGAATGATATCGACGGAAGGTGTTATCTTGGACCGCGTAGAAGATCATTATTTGATAACAATAACAATGATGAAGTTGTGCATGATGTGACTTTCAAGACATAAAGTAGGCCTTTCACGAGACGTCTCAAAGCATTAGTTTCAAAACTAGAGCGATTTTGAAGCCTTTAAGGTTTAGCGCGGGGTGTTATTTTGAGAGTGACATGTTTTAGAACACGGAAATGTCCCATAAGACAGCCGAAGATTCGACGCTTTCGATGGAGATATCGAGGAGATCGCGAAATAGACTTAAATGATTAAAATCTCTTCACGGATTAGAGAGAAGTTGCTACAGTAAATTTAGTCGAGCTTACAAAAAACGTTAATTTGGCAGAGATGTCTCCTTCAGAGTGCACCAGTAGTTCATAAATGGGCCAAATGGAAACCGCGAATATTTGCAAATTGACTAGTTGGTATGAATACACTGTAAGCTATTTTTCCCGAATGACGAACGCCACCATGCTAGATTTTTCGCCTTTTAATCACTTCTTGTTTGCAGACAGATTTGGTTTTGTTGTAATTGTTTTTGTATCAGACATAAACACAAGTGGGAGGGTAAAAACGTGTGAAAACAAAAAAAATAATGACGATATGAAAGCGTTGATTTTGATCCGTGGTAAGCGTTTTACAACACGAAAATAAATAATCTAGAAAAAACAAACTTAAATCGTCAATTTGGATAACAGTGGAATGCAGCAACAATAAGGGCGCAGGAGAGATTAGTGAACCTATTCCTGTCTGAGTTAGGCAACATATAATAAATCACATATTTGGACATCATGTGCCATAAAGGCTAAAGGTTACCACTGAAAGTCATCAAATCTAGCCAACAAAAATCTAATTTGTTCAGACAACTCGTGTAGTACTTGAGCATGCGACGGAACTCAAATTTTGAGCCTGTCTTCTTGAAGATGAGTTTGAATTATCAAACGAGGAATAACTCACCATATATTTAGCTCGTAATGCGCTTTGTGGTAATCTTGAACTGACTGAGGCAGACATTAGGAATCATAACCCAGTTTTTAAGACATTTTACCCAACTTTTTCAATTAAAAGACTACGTCTCGGTTGGTAAGTTTACCTTTTGACGATAGATGCGCCTGTTTGACTAATACGCAAGTCAGTATTGCTTTGAAGGTCAATGACAAGAAAGCTGTAATTTTAGGATCATCTGGTGGCTAAAATTATCTGAGAGCCATTGATCTCCTACTTCCAATTATTGAATTTTAATACACCTTAACTGGGACTAAAAAACTCCGCCTCTGTATTTTTAATGTAAACTCAGGATGTAGAGGCGAGGTGGTATTTTCGTTGATATGGTAATAACTCATTTATTCGTTCTCGCCTGGCTCTCGAGGAGTTGACCTCAAAAATATGCGCGATAAAACGAACCTGACTCCTTTTAGCAATCCAAGCACGCGATTTGGAAAAAATCCGTAATCCTATTGATTTCTGATACGTGTGTTTATTTAGAGAGAGACGCATAAAACGTTTGATGGTTTTATAGAATTCTTTTAGCGCTTTTGTCAATAAGCCGCTTGCGCCCTTCAAGTGACTCGTCTAAAATTTTAGGCCACCCCAGGAAAACAATCTTGCACAAGATGGTATATTTAAAAATAGGATACGCTTAGTCTATATATTTTGCAAAATTACTCAGAGTGAGTCGAAAAGGCGCTTTTCAGCTACAAAAATTACGGAAATTGAATATAACTAGAAAAGGAAACATGGAGCCAGGGAGAAGTATTTCCACGATGGAAAAAAATGGACTTGGAGAGAATTGCGTGTTGTTAAGTGTGGAAACGAAATCTGTAAACAAGGAATTCTGGAATGAGGCACAAAAGGAGACCAATTTGAGGGTTTGTTTCCTGTTCATTGTTTTCTTCTTTGAAAATTAATGAGATGTCCTGAATAAAACTGAACAATTTCGTGTGGTGACAATGTTTACGTTGCTAAAGTGATATTTGACATTGGGAGTCTGTTTTTGAAAAGCACTCAAAAGTCAGGAAGTGTGAGATGACAAGTGTTTTAGACGCGATAAAAATACAATTTATATGATAAATAGCCTTGGTATGTCTTAAAAACTCAAAATGAAAGAGGTTCTGAAATAAAGTCACGTAATGATACCGGACGATTTTTTCCGAAGATTAGGTAAATACGGGATCTAATTGCACGGCCCTACACCGCATAGGAATAGAAAGAGAAAGGAAGAGAGATATCCCTACTCCGGCTTCGTAAATAATTTTTACACTTACGTGTTTAAAAAGTCTCAAGTCCCTTTCAGCGCTGAATCAACAAGTCTCGGCGGGGGTTATATTGATTCGTCCACAGAAATGTGGCTCTATTTCGACGTTGGTGAAAGTTTTCGTTTAATTCTAGGATGGACAGTCTTCTCCATTCATTGAGGTCGTTCTGACTTGTTAGCTAGTTTGGTCTGTTAATTTGGTGCTCGACTAAGAAATTTCCCCTAATGAATACGGGAGTCCCTCAGAAATTTTATTTTCCGAAATCCATTTCTTCTTTTTCACCAAAGTTCATCAACAAATTTCCTTTTGCCAAAGTGACAAAGACAACAAGACTGCATTATCACATTAAGGAGTATTAGTTTCATACTAATGAAAGAATTATTCACAGTCAAAAGATTTCACGGGTTGCCATCGCAATAAACTTCAATTTAAAGAGCTGAATTGTCTGCCAAGTTTGTGTTGTCGTATTTTCGAAAGTGACGTTGTGAAGAATCAATTCAGGATATCACTTTCATCACGAAATTAAATGTGCTTCCGAGGCTAATTGCATGTGCTTCAAATCTGCGGTCACAATTACAAGCTTTTAACCAGACCATGTGCTGCCTTAAGGAGTCTTTAATTGCACATTTTCACAAACAACAACCCTCGACCAATGAAACACTGCCTTCTATTTGTACATTGTTTGGCGTCTTAAGGCCTCATATTACGTGAAAGAAGCCACTTAAGCCCTTTTCGGCAGCCATTCTTTGCGTTCAGTGCTCACGCCTAGGTTAACCGCAGATTTAGAACGACAGAAAGTATAACTTCTCGAAAGCTTAAAAGGAATCGGCGCCCAAACACCCTTTCGCTCATTGTGTAAACAAGGCACACGCGCGAGAGTGCACCATGGCACTGAGTTCACAACTACGACGTGGTGCTGTAATTGGTTTTGCTTCAGCTATTTATTTCGCGGCTGATGTGCTGCAGTTTTGTTCTTTAAGCAATGTTTGATTTTGTACTTACGTCTTGCACAATCTTTTTGATAAGTGAATCTAAAGTACGCTCAGTAATTATGGTATAACGAAGGGGCGGGCAGGCAACACTGAATTGAAATAGCAACCTCAAAGAGCTCGCGTTTTATGTACTCAAAGGGTTTGTAACTGTTGAACGTAATGACAGTTTTAACAATAGAAAAGTTTAAGAAAAATTGCTGTGAAATCAAAGGCATTAACGACTGCCACGGAAGCTCTAATTTTCAAATTTCAAACTACTTCCAATCGCCCGTCACCGGAAAAAACCTCAGCAATAACATCAAGTATGCTACTACTGACGAAGGCAGACTTGATCACAATACATCTAATTAATGTTTCTCTTTACGTCTAATCGCGTGTTGACAAGCGACAGTGACAAATCGTTGATAAAGCTGCCCGAAAAAGGATCATTTGATCAGCTAGTGACATAACATGACTGTCACACTCTTCACACTTAAGAACCACGGCCACTCCCACTGAAACTGACACATGTCTCGTCCATTTCAACCCTTACGCATATTTTAGAGCGAGAGCTACAATGATCGACTTAATGAAACCCTAAATTCAGTACCTCTCTCGATAGCCGGATACTCGGTCGAAATGAGCTCGTTTTCGATAGACAGTATTCTCGCTCTTGAGGAGAGCAAGTGTGGAAGAAGGCAAGGAAACGAAACTCGCAAAAATGTTACTAGCCTGAGCCTTGAAGAACTTCGAGACCAAGAGATCAGTACGTCTAAGTGTGAAGAACGTAACAGTAGTTCTCCAGATTCAAGTCCAGCTCGTGGAACGGAACAATCTTCTTACGAAGGTACAGACCCAGCTAACATCCCTATATTTCCCTCGCAGTTTAGTTGTCTTCAATCGGCTCTATAAATTCTATTTTTGTCGATAAGTGGAGACTCAAGTGTCACAATCGCAATATTCTACTTGCCATATTCTTAAATTGCGCATCAAGTACTTAACCAAGGGTTACATGTAAAAGAAAATTTTCATGTTTTGGATTTTACACGGGACACATAAACAAACTCAGCAAGAAAGTGTAATCACGCAAGAAATGCATCGCGCAAAATCAAATTCACGAAGCGTGCGAAAAATTTCTGGTAAATTGCGTCAGTGTTCCGCGTTCCTGCATTCTGTTTTTCAGTTCGTCGATCGTCATTTCCGTTTTTAACATTTTTCTTCCTTTTATTTTAGCTGATTCTACAGAGAGACTCGATGTAGAGGATTTTAGCAACGAAAACGAAAATGACCCAGAAACGGAAATTCCCAACACTAAAAAGCGAAAACGAAGAGTGCTATTCTCTAAGGCGCAGATCTTCGAACTTGAGAGACGCTTTAGACAGCAACGGTACCTTTCTGCGCCAGAACGGGAACAGTTAGCTCGACTTATAAACCTCTCTCCGACACAAGTAAAAATATGGTTTCAGAATCACCGGTATAAATTCAAGAAGCAGATCGGGGATAAAGGACATCTTGCGAGCGAGGCCTTGCCTTTCATGAGCCCAAGACTTGTTCCCGTCCCTGTTCTTGTGCATGAAGGCCAGCCTTGTTATAGACATAGAACTTTAACCACTCCAAGGCAGGAATTCAGTAATGGATTCTCCGGTTATCCTCCAGTGCCTTTCCTGTACTCGAGCACCGGCGCTGTATACAATAATCGCTTCTGGGGCTTTTCTTAGATTAGGGTAATGCTTTAGTAAATAGCGTTCGAGTCAGTTATTTTGACGCTACTAACGCAACCAAACATCTAATCCCGTTCGTGTTTATACAACTTAGCTGTTACTCTAGGGGTTAATATTTCGTATTCCATTCAACATTAGACGTTTTGTGTAATACCTTCAAGATTATCGCTTTTTAACATTCAAAATTTGCCAGACAAGTCTGTGATGAAACAGAACAGTCTGTGTTCTTAAGCTGGTGGCCCAGTTTACTTTGAAAAAGCTTTAGGGTTAAGCTTCGTTTGAAGAGTTCTTGAAGTTTCGCCATGTGCAACACTAGCTTATGTACAAAAGATTACCGGTCATATCTATTTGTATTCCTGCTCATGAAATACTTCATTCTCAGCCGACAAGGACTCTAAGAACAGAAGTCTTAAGATTCTCACCATAGGCGCGAAACATTTGATAAATCCTCACTGCTGGGTGTTTATTGTTGAGAGTTTTATTGTCTTCAAGTCAAACTGCCCTGTGACAACGGCTCGGTTTAACATAGAATTGCAATATTTGCCGAGATCTTGGCAAACAAGTTGTATATGGTCATAAGATTTTGTAATCTACTAAGTAATATGTAAGAGCCACTGACAAACTCAGGGATTAGGATATCCTTTTCTACTGGCCATTAAATAACAATAAACTCCTCAGTGTACGAAAAGAAATCAACCGGACGCAGTTTGCGCCAACAAAGAAACGATTTTTTATTGTTGTTAGTCTCCTTTGCGTGGGTTTCTTAGGACATGATCAACGTCTATTATAGGATCTCAAACCTCGTTGGAAAAAAAAAGGGATTTAAAGATGTTGGGAACGTGATGTTATCTTTTTAGGCGGAGCGTTGCGGCGATTCTTAAGCTCTACGTATTTTCGCGGTAATAGGGATAAGTAATGATAAGAGTGCATTCGTTATAACCTTGGTCCGGAGAGATTGGCGCGGAACTCTATCTTAAGTGCCAAGCGCGGCCTTCATCTCAACTGTCGCTTTAAAATAGAACTGATTTGCGACTTGGTTGGACTTATCTTTGCGGAGGAGGCGGCTATATCGACCAAAGCCGGGCGAGCGGGAAAACGAGAGAAAGACCTTTTCTTCAAGGGGTGCGTTGAGCATTGCGCGCAATATTCATATCGATGTCAACAACCATTGTTTGACGTTCAAGGAAAATTTCCAAATTTGCAGCTTAACGCCAGTGTTTACAGAGCTCTGGTTTGCGTTAAAATGATTAACAAGGAGTTAATCTTCAAAATTGAGTCTTCAAGGCCAGGTTTAAGCGATTACGCTTAGAAAATTAGAGACATTTTAGAATTCCAGTGTCGCTAAGTATTTCAAAAGGTAGCTACTTACAGTATTGACAGGAAAATAGTAAATAAAGAAATACAGTTTAAAAGTAATAAAGGGCTTTTGTAACTCCGCTTAATAGAATATACACCAATAGTCATTAATTCAAGATTGGAATGATAATTTTTGCTAGAAATAAATCGAGAGATCTATGCGATATCTCGACAGGTATGTTCAAATTTGCTCCACGAGTACACACAGCTTGTAGCGGTTTAGAATAACAAAGAAAGTTTACAAAGTTCATCACTTCAGCTGTCTTGATTTTTCTGCGTTTGGTGCTGGGAACCTAAAATGTTTTTAAAACACACGAGCACATCCACTCAAGGCTAAAAGCCCCCAAAACCCCCAATCTTTTCAAATTATCTTAGCGTTTGAACTGGAATGACTCCACTGTCAAATTGGAAAGTTATAATTCCTTTTTTGACCCTGTGTGATTAACTGTTTTTTCTTCATGAAAGGTGATTCATATGCAAGCCCTGATGTTCCAAAATTGTTACAGGTACTAAGTCACTTAACTTATTACTGCGAAAGATCAGTTTGAAATGACATTATCATATTAATACACAATGAAAAGAAAAAAGGTTTTTTTAAATTCCTCTGTGGCGTTCATGAAGTACATGTTGGTCTCTCAGATAACTATTCATTTTCGAAAATTGATATCTCTTCTTTAGTCCGAGAATTGTTGAAAAAGAAAGCATATCAGGAGATGTTACGCAGGTATCGCAGAAATTGATCTAAATAACTCCTGAGAAGTTTTACCGCTATTTGAGGTAACTTTTCATTCCATGACTCGCGTTTAGCTGTTGCGTCTTAACTCGTCTTGTTTTGGATCACAACTTTTCGTGTATTCTTGTTGTGTTCGGTGTGAACCAGCGAATCTGATATCTTACACATCTGCAACATTCTCCTAAAGCAAAATATTAAATGTCACCTCGAAAACTTAGTCCTAGAACACAAAAATTGTACTGAAGTTACATGATATGACATTTTTGTCTTCCACCATTGTAGTTCAGCTTTGATCAGGTGTAGTTGCTCATGTCAAGGCGTAGTTTCGCGTTGTATGACTGTTTTTGTTCTTGTATAGAATGAATGCGAGATAAACGTTACTGCGAGAAAAATACTGAGTTTGCCGTCAATATTATCGTTCATGCTATTTTATGAGATCTGGCATGCAAGATTATTGGTAAGAGATAACGCACGCTAAGATGAAAAAGAATTTAAAAACATTAAAAACAATAATAAAATCTAAGAGGCCTTAGACAAGTTACTCTCCTAGAAAGGAGACCTGTATCAGTAATGTATTTGGTTACTACGGGAAACTGATGCTGCAGTGATACCACTGATGAATATCAGAGGATTTGCTGGGGTAATTCCCTTCCTTTGTAGATGATAAACTTACGCAGATAACCTTCTGCTGCCATCGGCCTTAAAAAAACACTGAAGAACCTCTTGGAGAGTGCATCTTCTTGTGATAAACAGATAGCTCTTCTTACGTTGCGTAATCCCTAGGAACTTTATGCACGTGCAATGTTCTATGAAGTGTTTACGGTCTTGCACGCGGAATAATATCTACCATTCTTTTATCTCAAATGTTGCCTTTACTATCGTTGTTTAACGTTTGTTCGGGCTGCAACGTTGGAAAATACTCCTTGGAGAACCTCTGCCTTTTCAGTGAACAGTGCAAGTAAAATCAATGTTTGCCTGCCCATACTTACAAGACAGCTGAATCCTTTGCTGAGCGGCTAAACGCATCTCACGTAGGGCGGAACCATACTTGTTCATTTGTAGCAAGTCTCGTTCATGAACGGATTAAATCAATAAAACACGTAGCTAAATACAAAAGAGTTTTATTTCTGTAGATGAGTGTTTTTATCTTTAGTACAATTCTGATAAAACAAAGGCTCTTAACATGGCTTTGAAACGGAAGGCCAAGTAGGAGGAGGTTATCGTCAGTAAATCGAAACATGTCAAACAGTTCTATAAACGAAAGCTTTGTAGTCCCTGATGGCAGAAGTACTTTTTGTTGAAAACCATCAATTTGGTAGACGAAAATGTTGCGTGAGTATAACTTGAAACATCAGACACATTCGCATGTCCATCGGAGACTTCTGCCGGTGCCAAGTCAAGGTTTCATCGGTATGTGCGCGCGCTTCACATAAGACCAATGGTCCATGAAATTTATTTTGGTAGTTCCGTTCGTTGAATGTGCTAAACGACCCCCTTTGCTATTTGAGTGCCTCTAAATCTCTTCGAGGAAGGAAATATTTAATTATAGTCTGCCTTTCCCCCTCAGTGCATTTAACGGCTCACGTTCGAGTTGTACGAGAACGTGAAGGGGGACAGAAGGGGGAAAGAAGACTGAGGGGGAATACAAGAAATATCCCTGGGAATTTCCTGTGTGAAATCCTTGGGAATTTCCTATGTGAAATCCCTGAGAATTTCCTGTGTGAAACAAGTGGTGAGCGGTTGAGAACCTCTCAGTCTTCTGCCGGACAAAATGAAGTAGATACTCATGAAAAACAAAGAAAAAGCAAATGTGGGTTACAAAAGGCGGTAAAACGTGTGGTCGTCTAGACTCTTCTGTAATTTATCATTGCACGTCTCATTTTCCAAATTCATTATCAACGTCCCATATTTAAAAGAGCACCTGAAAAGCTTCGCGGGTTTCACCTGCTCTGCTTTCGGTTAAAAAACCAACTGTCATTCAGAACGTTTAGTGAATCACGTCATACAGACAAGATTGTTTCCTCGGCACCTTGCCCAGAAATTTCCACGAAACATTACTATGTCAGAGAATCATGGACTCCCGAACGTTCGATACGGAAACACCTTTGATTTCAGCTTTACCCACGCATCCATCTCAGTTACGTGGTTGTAAGTTCAGTAACGATTAGAAAAGATTTCTGAGAGTAAATAGAAAGCTATCTCGTTATCTTATTTGCTGAATTAGATGTCTCTTTGCGTTTCGAGATTTAGCTTTTATTTCCGTGATGTGTTGGTTGAACTGAATAAGGCTTAGACTGATTATTGATTAAGAGGATTTCAAGGGACATAAACCAGACAGGAGAATCTTTTTCAAATGTCTGGCTTTTCAATGCCATGAATTTTTTCTTCTCTACGAAAAGACCTAATTGTCGCCATGATGGCTATAAAAACAACGTCGACTTTTCATCGTTAAAAGCTCTTGTTGAAAAGAGGATAACTCTGTCACCTCCTATTCCGCCCTTTCCCCTTAAATAAGATAGAAAAAACTATTTCGACTCTTACAAGACAAATGGCCAACCGTTCATTTTCCAAACGTTTTTTTTTTTTTTCATTTTGCCTTCTTTATTTTTTTATTCTTCTCTTAGCTCTCGGGCGAAAAGGTGAAGGGCTTTGGGATTCATCCAGAGGCTTATTTAAACCACCTTGTACAAATGGAACATACGTGCAAGTGCTGCTTAGTAGCTCTTATCATGATGGTGCCAACTTGGATTACAGTAATCCGTTATTTAACAAACAATAACACATGGAAGAGAGAGAGTTGCATAATAAATAACTTTTTTCGATTGGTAACGTACTAGGTTTTATACCTTTCATCCTTCAAATTTAAAACCAACTTGATTAATATCATGAACAGTGCAACTTGAAAGGAATGTTCAATTCATCAGTGTGGAGGTCACACATTAGGGCTTGATCCAGTTAAGAACCGCCTTGCACGGCAAAATAAAAAGAACCGCATGGAAGTACTATTTACGCTAATTTCTACACTTGAATTTTATCCAATTTTAAATTGTTGAAACTTCCTTGCACGAGATATTGAGCATGCTCAGTGACTTACGTTAGAGGAAGGTTTTATGTTCGTAAAATACTTTCTGAAAATTGGCCGTATTAAGGGTGATTGTGGTTTCCAATTGTTTCCGTTTTTTTTTTTTTCTTTTTTTTCTTCGCGATTTGAAGCGTTTTTTGGTCGTGACGTTATCAGATATAATAAACTTATAAATGATCTGCCTTTCGGCAGAGTTGAGATTAAGCCACGCCTTTCTATTGGGTCAGTCCCCAATTGCCTCCTTTCAACAAAAAGGTGAGCGGAACGAGGTTGCGCTCTTTCGTGTGAAACGTTCTAGTCAAGGAGTGTTGTTTTCAGCCCTAGCTTCCAAAACATCCGCCAATTTTTGTAAGTCTCAAATCCTGCCAAGCTGTTTGATATCTGAAACTTTGTTGACGTTCCTTCCGAAGACCATAAGCACTCTTTCTCTGGTCATCTTGACCTTCAACACCTTAACATTAGTATGCATATTCCTTACACTCTCCTCTCTTTGCTGGGCGATTATTTTCTTTACTCTCGCGGACCTGAATATCGGTGATGATACGTTAAGGATAAAAGAGATACCAGTTACGCCTATGGGTTTGTGGGTTATAGATTTCAACCGTCAAAATGTCGTACCACTGAGTTTGTATGGAATTTCGAAGCGACTGATATGCGATAGCCTTAGTCGGACAAGCATTTGTGTTAATAACTATTCCAGATCTTGATTTCTCTGAATGTGGTTGATTTGAGCTTTCCAGCACTGACTTCTTCAGCTGTGCTTGCTTCGAGGGCCCTTTTCCCCAGAGTTGAATTGAAGTCTCGCAAAATTACTGATATAATACTTGCATCCTATAATTTCATGCACATTTGGTACAATAAATTACCTTGATAAATTCCTTAATTCTCCTAATATCCGTGTTAGGGTAAAGTAAGGTCATTGGGAAGGAGATGAACTGTGAGCATGTCGCCTGATCCTGTTGGTTGAATGGTTCTTATCACTGATGCTTTCAAGGAAACGTGAAGTTTGAAAGGAAATAAAATAGAGCTCTGACAGGAGGATGAGGGTAATGTTAATTAGATTTCGCGATCGGATTTAAGTCTGCATGCAAGGCTATGTTACCTGTGCAGAATTCGCGTGAACAGGTGCTGAAGAACATGCGATTTTCCAGGGTGATATCAAAAATCATTTCCTGCTGTGAAAGTGAAAAAAATTCCATGTTGAACGTGTCTCAACTCGTCTCCAATTCTTGCCAAAAGAAAAGAAAGTTACAGGCAGTGATGATTAGTTACTTTAGTTGACATAAACCACGCTAAGCCGAAGATACAGTGGTAACTGCATGAAACAGAAAAAGCAATTCAATTCGCCCGATTTGCTGTTTACTGAAAAAAAATAAATCGTTTTATTAGGGGTTTAGAACATTGCAAGTGACAAAATATTGCATCACTTCGTAAAGTAAATGGACAGTGTGGAGATAAAGCTTTGCACACCATCAAGTTCTTGTCTAACTTTACTGAAAAGCAAATTTCCGGGTGTGATTGGCTCAACGACCCTACGAAAGCTATGAAACAATTAACACGCAATATTGCATTTTTAGGTGAAGATTTATTTTCAGTGATTATTTACAGAGCAGTCAGATGTATGAACATTCTTCTGTCAATTAAGCGAAATTGCGTAACAAGCTTCGTTCATGATCAATTGTAAATGAACCGAGAATAAATAGAGTACAAACTCCATGTGTCATAAAAAGGTTTTAGCTCTCAAAAAACAAACAAACAAACAAGGCAAGAGTTATATTACAATAAATTTTAAGGTGGTAACTGAACATTGCAGGAGAGTAGCGCATAGTATGTTACCTTGACATTTTAGACTTGTCAATGCAAAGCTAAGCATTTTCCTTGTAAAACGCAACAACATTTCATAAACGTTCATGAAGAGTAAGTTATCACAGTGTGATTTAAAAGGATGCCAGAATGTTCCCATGAAAGAGCAACCCAACAAAGTAACTGTCTCCTAGTCTCAACTCAACCAATGCTGAAATACTCGGAAAAAAATTTTGAATGGATGAATACTATCCTCCAAAATGATGCAGGGTGATTTCGAAAACCGTGGATTTCTCATGGAGAGCCCCCGAACAAGATAAAATTAATAAAAAACTGGAGGATACAGCGGTTGTCTTTGGCTTTCATATTGGCACGAAGGATAGCGTACGAAATGTTGACCGGGAGGTGGTGAGAACGAGAAAGTGTTTATTGGAGCCAGCGAAGAGGCTGGACATACTGAAGACCAAGGCATGAAAGCCGAGGAGAATGAATTGATTGTGTCCCTAGGCTCGTAATACGGGCATGGCTGTAAGCACGGTACCTCTGCCGGATGGTAATGTCCCCCGCATGGAACCTTGGGGTCGTCCTCGAACTGTCCATCATGCTTAATCTGCTGACGACTCTTGTATCGATGGTTCTGAAACCAAATTTTCACCTGTGAGGGTGTCAGGTTGATCATTCTAGCCAACTGATCTCTTTCAACAGCCGAAAGATACTTTTGAACGCGAAATCTGCTTTCTAATTGGTACACTTGAGCCTTTGAAAATAAAACACGTCTCTTTTTCTTGTTTGACGCTTTTATCTTGGTAGCAGCTGAGGAATCTGTATCACCTTCTGTTTCTTTAATCCCAGATTCTATGAGAAAACGAACAAATTATTACAGCCTACCATTATCGATTGAGTTAATATAACTAGTTGATCAATATGTAGGCGAGTTATAGATGAGAGTTGCGTGCAGTGTTATTTATACCAAAGTCTCAAATAATCATATTTCATCTTTACCAGCAGTAAGGCTGTAGACCTCTAAATCGTTTAATGAAAAGCCACTATTTGAAGCGTTATAATAATCGTCTTAAGCCATTCACCCTTTTGGTCAGTACATGCGCATAACCAGATACAGCAGCCTCTATAGTAAAGAACCAACTGTAATGCCTCGGCACCTCTGTGGTCGCGGTCTTTCGTGAATTGCCCCAACCAGTAAGGTTCTAGCGGCCTTATCGGGACTCATGATCCACCTCTTGTTTTCTCAGCAAATTAGTTTTCTCCTAGAGGGTTTAGCTAGCCAGTCGTAAAAAGCCTACTGTTTTGATCATTGAAAGTTTTAGCTCTATGCAGATAATACTGATGGGTCCTTTCGCCATCAAAAACTGAGGAATTGAAGGTTGGCTTAACAAAGAATGAGCTTTAAATTGCCAATAAAATCTCGAGGATTCAAGCTTTAAATACGAGAGGTAAACAGGTTGAAAGTTTTGAGATACAGCCAATTGTGCCAAAATCTTTCAAGCATTCAACGAGGTTACTGTTTTCATGAATTTATTACAGAATGACAAGCACATGAAGAATTGTAGTCAAAGATCCCTCTACCCACCAAAACCAGACATATCCTTCTCCTAATAAAAGCTAAATGAAGTACTTAAGCCTGTGTTTACTTTCTAATTTCCGCCATAGCTCACTATGACCTCGTTGAGCGAGCACAGGAAAAGCCCACAAGAGAACTTAACTTGTTCGTGCCAGCAAAACCAGTAGACTTTCCATAATGTCAATTATTTCGTTAAGTACCACGACACAACCCAGTCCATTCACTCGATGCAGAACCTTAGTATGGTCAATTTTTAAGGAAAAAAAATATAACCTCTTACAAATGGATCCTTTACATATCACGACGGCGCTTTTCGTGAAAACTGCTAAGCTTACTTGTTAATCATAAAGCTGTGCTTATGAGCATAACTTTTTCGAAAATTATTAATCTTCAGTAACGCTGAGAAACGACTATCCAAAAAATGTTTCTTTTACTAATTCATGGGAGGGCGAGCATGGAACATTTTAAATGAATGAAAACAATGCTGTGACGTTATCTGTACAAACATGAGAATTAGCAGCTCAACTTATTTGGCGCTCATGGTGTGCATGTTCGGTTAAGCCAGAGTGTCAGTTAGTTTTGATGTCTGATCAACTCTTTTATACTTTATTTAGTTCATAGATTCCAGCAGTTACCAACATATTTCGCCTTGTTTGTTTTTCCACAAGTTAATAAGAGATAAAATCTAATGAAGATCTTAACCATGAACGTGGAAGTAGACATTTGGTCTCAAAGGCCAGTTGTGTGTCGATTTAGCGATACGAGTGACTCTCGGAAGCAAATCAATCCTCCGGGCCACATTTCTACCATTTTTTGAGACCCACTGTTCCAGATTTACAGGCATGTGACAGTTTAGAACCTTCTTTCATTTGAGACTTGACAAGTTGTGACTTGATTGAGTCACTTTCCCGAAATAGAGTGTTCACTGAGTGTGAAAAATGAGCTAAAATGAACAACACCTTTGATAATAAAATCATTGCGTGTCTTGGTGAAAATAATAATACTTCGATCCAAGAGTGCCTCAAGAACGCAACTCCGCCTACTTCTAAAACATTTACACCTTATAATCTGCAGTGAGTGTAATCTCTTGGGGTCAAAGAACCACTTTTAGACAAATGGCGCCCATGTTGTCAGACGAACCAGCATGAATGACTCCTCTACTGGCACGATTTTCTGTCATTTTCTGTCTAAAGTGACCATAATTTTACCAGAATTTTACAGAATTTGACAATCATCTCGTCGCTTGACAAATCAGTTTCAACTCTCCGTAAAAGCCTTCATGACTTAATTTGCATGAGAATCTGTGCATTTTTGCACATACTCTAAATTTCCAAGGTTCTCCGCAGTCTAGTTTGTTAAGTGGTTCAAGTATTTCACTTCATGATCTTTTATTCTCTAATTCTCTACAATGCATGCTAATAGCATTTTAGCTTTCGCCTTTAAAACCCACTGTTCAAGGACTTAAGAGGTTCATGATATTGCTAATAGAAAACTGTACCAATTCTGTTGCTCTTGAGTTGGCGTGTTTAAGATAAGATTATTAGAAAGTTGTTGCGTTTTTCCTGTCTACGTTTGAATTTAATCCTAACCACAAGGCTTTCTCGTCAGACAGTGATAAATGCAGTGCTTCACGCTTTTTTTGAGCTTGTCACGTTTTGATTTGAACTGAAATCCACTTAAGCTCAAAACGGAATAAAATGAGAAAAGCTAACGTGTAGAAGCTGCTTGGAGAAGCACGTAGAGAGAGTAAATACGGACAGTTATTTCTGAGTGAGTAAGGCTAATTAAATTCTTCCGGAGAGAGAAGATGAAGTTATCAAAAACATCGTTAACATGTCAAATAAACCCAAAGAAATATTATCTTATGTGTTTATCCATAAATCAAAGTCACAACTGGATTGAAAAAGAAACTGGATTAAGAGAAAGAGGAAAGAACACAAGAGACGACGATTTTGTATAGTATGTAGTGAGATATGAGAGCGCGTGAGTTCCGTTTGAAAGCCTGGTGATAGCCACTACGCTGAAATACGGATTTTAATTTCCCATGAAGAACCTGTTCGTGTGCGATAACACAAAGCTTCCTTTGATCTCCTAATGAACATGATACTGAAGTTATCAGTTAGTAATGAAGAGTGGATGAAGAGTGGATGCAGGAATATTCGGATGATCTGGTTAAAACATTATCCAATTTAGTCCTTCTCGATGCTATTTTAATTGGATTCGAACACCTTTCAGAGAAATAATGTTTGCATTTCCCACTTCTAAAAATAATGATCTACAGCTTGACCGAGTTAACCTTTCTTAAAAAGCAATTAATGGACAAGTTTTAGCCTTTGCCAGGCCCTCAGTAGACGAGGACGATCATGAAGAAAAGAGAATTGTTTCTAAGGCAGTGATCACGCGGAATGAAAAGTGTGCAAGCTTCACGATTGTTATCGTGTAAGACAAAAGCCAGGGAAATTATTACCGAATACATCGTGTTCATTAAGCGGTTTTAAGGAAGGAAATTACAGCATCATAACGAAAAGAGTAACCTCCTATCCTGGCTTTTACTCCTCATAGCTTTAAATCGCTGAGAGGCGACTAATGCTTCTCTTTCCTGTATTTTTAAAAGTGTGTTTAACACTTATACGTTGTGGCTCTTCCAAGATACGATGCGGAAATACATTGAACCCTCAGAAAAAATATATCCCACGAAAACAAAATTTTCATACTCACCACAGTGTTTATCCAACTTATAATCAGGGCTATTGTTGTTCGTTCTCGCCGCGTTGATTTCGACATGTACTGTTGATTTCTCAGCAGATGGAAATGTTTCCGTTTTGATGATGTCTTCTCGATAATCCACCGAGCTTCTTCGAAGATTTTCCTCTTCGTTGCCAGAGCTTAGGATACCGTCGATGGAGAAAGTGATGATTTGCTTTGAACTTAGCTGAGCCATAGTTCTTGCTTTGTATACAAGACGCATAAGTTATCACTAACTCGCGCGAGCTGTCCTGTTTAGCTTTTGCGTGTGGCAAAATACAGGAAATTAGGGCGGGACCTTATCGAGTGGTCTCTGCGTTAACACTAGACAGACAGTCCTCTGATTGGTCCATAGCTGAGGTGCTGATCCGTAAGAGTTTAAAAATAATTTAGATAAGTGCAATACTTTACAAGACAAACAATAACAAAATTGATTTCCTACAACGGAAATGCCAAAGTAGCTGCATGAGTGTTCAATGTTGTTAGTGACAGCGGATTAAGAGGCCAGTCTGACGTAAAACATCACACACGACCCAGAGGTCATTTTTCCGTCTCGTAAACCCGGATTTAGGAGAAATCTGGCACGGAAAACGTGCGAACGTGCTCAAACGGCCCTTCAGTAAGAGAGGACAAGTGATCTTCAAATTAAGCAGCATTAGAATTCCTCTTTCTCATGGCATTCACCAAACCAGTGACTCTCTGTCTCAAACGTCACTCATTTCCTTTTATCGGATTTAATCTGTCAGCCATGTCAAACAAACGATCGTCGTTTAATGGATTTAGGCACGTATTCAAGGACAGTTCATTTGAACTCAATAGACGTTACGATGTCTATCTGCTCATAGTGGAAGCTTTGGGCTGATAAGACGGGGATTAACCCGTAAGGGAAAACGGAAAGACTTGCCAGATTGTTTTATTTCTCTTGATCATGTCAAGTCTACTTCTCTTAGTCCTGTGTATTGTAACGTGTAAGAATCTCCAGAGCTTTAAAGCTTAAAATTAACAGACCCATTAGCTCTTGGCATACGTTCAGGGACCAATGTTTGTCAGTGAGAGGCATGTTTGTGGCCTTTAGGTATGTTTCTTTGGTAAGTAACGGGCACTTCAAGGTCGAAGTGGGAAATTCTTTCATAAAAAGCCATTTTCACCAAAAACATTCACAGAGTTTCAGTTATGGACCTTAGACCAGATGGCTTCTCATAATTTGCTTCCCAGGTGGGCTGAGATTGGATGACAGACGTGACTCCCGCAATGATGATGTTGTGTGACACGTGGTCGACCAATTAGCTTGCCAAGTAGTGACTTGGTGATCATGCCAATTGAATGAACATAAATACATCGTTTGTAGCTCTGTTTGGTCTTGTGGATAGTTAACAAAGTAAAACATGAGCTTAAATACACGCTTTTCTTTGAAATCTGTTTTCTAACTGGCTCATGAATGAAACTTCGTCCCATTTTGCTTTTGGTCGTCCAACTTTTGTTCTTGGTCGTCTAGCTTTAAGCCGTTGTCAGCGCCGTCAAGGAAGAACTTTAGTTCATTTTTTCGCAAAATTATTTTGTAGCCACCTTTGTACCTCATGTTTCTTTCTAGTGTCTGTCGAGCTACAAAAGCTCAAAGTACACGAGCAATTGACATATTCAATGACAGTTTCACCTAGTGTCATTCTATGCTTTTTTGGGGAGGTTAAGTGCTTGACTCATTCAATAGCAAATCAGAAACTTTCGAGATTTGAGTCTCCAAGATTTATGAATGAGCGAAGGGAGCTCTAATCCAATTTAGAAAATAAATTTAATTTTTATTGAAACGTAATTTGATTTTATCAGCTTAGACTCAGTACTTTTATGAGCTAAGTGTACCACATAATTACATGTTTCAAATGTAAATGTCGAACTACTTGCCGTTTTTGTGGGACTCATCGTTTCTCACCATGTATGAAACGAATTTAAATAAAGAAGTCAAAGGCTAAACCGAAAACAAGCTTAAATGAAGGAGACTTCTGAGGCTAACAAGAAAAACATCATAGAGGATGGAAAGTATGCTCCAACTCTAAACACAAAAGAGATCAGAGCTATGTCAACATCACCATTTCGTAGCGGTCATTTAGAGGCCCGGTCTAAAAGTGAACGGTTAGTCTTACAAAACCATCGTGTCTTTTGAACTAACAACTATTCTAAAGATTGCCATGTGTGGTTAGTAGTCCATATTTACCGGAAGATCGAAGATTTTGTTCATAATCACGTACCTAACCACAATGTGATATTTTTCACACAAGCTTATTATTGTCCGGTGACGCCCCCTCGTTCGAATGTGTGATACCCCATGTATAAGGTTTGTACGATGCAATTACTTTAAACAAACATTTGCGCAAGATATAACCAGGTGTTTGTAGGTTTGTTTTAGAGAACAGCTTGCTGTGATAATGAATTTGCAAATTTTGTACGGGCAAACTACTTAATTAATAGGCCTAGATTGCTACGGAAGCCCTGACTGCGAACAGCATAGCGTGAAAAGTATCAAAGTAGTCTTTACCAAACTTAACAGTCCTTCAACTTCCCTCGAATACTGCAGCTTAATAGATCAGGTCGGAAGAAACGAGAAATTGGTCATATTTTGCTAGAAATTTTACCTTTTGGTTGAGCGAAAGTAGGTTTTTTCCCTCCGGTGGCAATGAGAGCTAATCTGCCTTGAATTCCGTAACAGTCACAAAGAATAATAGACTTAGCTAATGACGAATGATGAATAGATTTTCACTTGTAAACTGCAGGTAAGCCTCTGCGAAACCTGAAATGATTTTGTTTTGGCCTGAATTTATACAGTTGCTCCAACTACAGTTTACCCGTACAAATCGATTCCTTTCATATCATGTACAAGTCAAATCCATGAAACATTCCTTACCCATTTTCTCGCTATTAACTCCATAACATATTAATTGTAAAGTTGGACAACTTTCTTAAATCTCTCCAAGAAAGGTGATCAATTTTACAGTACTTGCTAATAACTTGTGTTCTTTATTACTCGTTTAAGTTAACATGACCCCCATTTTACAAAACCCAATACAATAACCACTCAAATGAAAGCTACTGAACAGTTCTTTTATATAGTACTCTTTGTTATGCTGTGCAAGGTGACTCTTACTTCAGTTTAAGTGTATGGATAAAACCCACGCGTACCACCATACAAAAGAAAGCTACTTGGCAGTACTTTCAGTTATTGCTGTACAAGATGGTGGTTACAATTAATTCTGTGGATAAAACCCCAATATGAGTCCATTCACATGAAAGGTGGGCATTATTTCCATATGGCCCTTTTTATTATGTGGTATAAAATGGTTCTGACTTTTAAGTTTGTGGATAGAACCCTAATGTGTAACCATGCAAATGAATAGTAATATGCTACAAAATGTACCTCTGAGGTGTGCGATTGAACCCGTTTGCAAATGGAGGCTTCTTGATTGTACTTCCAAGCTTTGTTTATCACTGACAAAACCCCAATACAAATTGAGTTTCTCTGAGTGTGAGCCTGCGGATCGTATCAGCGAAACTCTTCAGATTAAGAACTGTTTCATATCGATTGAAAAGCTACCTAATAGGAATTAACTTGCCGCTTTTTGTTTCTTTTGATTGGAGCGTCTTGTGAGACGAACTTCCACGTTCGTGAGTCTTTCCTAGTTCGACCTTCTGATTTGTATCTTGTGGAATGTCATTGCAAGTTCGCGACAACAATGAGCATAACACTTGGAGCTGAAAAATTCTCATGTTGTAAACATACATGACTCCTAAACAGAAAAACTGTGTCTAAAACCGCGGAAATTCACGTAAGTAAACCGAAACCGTAATAGTGTCGGACGACTCAGCTTCGTTGATTCTCGAGAGTAATATACATTGAACTTTGCACATTTTCGAAAATAAATGAATGTATGAAGCGATGCACTTTAGGCAAGAAGAAAGTTGCGTTCATGCGTTTTTTTGTTATGTTTAAGATCGAAATGAGCGCGTTAATCTATCTTGCAAGCTGTTCATGAGATATAGCAGGCACTAAATAAGAAAACAGGGATAGTGTCATGAGTTGGCTTCAATTCATTTTGTGTTGTGCCATTTTGGAGCGAATGAGGAAGAAACGTGTTTCAAAGTGACTTGGGTTTATTTAGCCAAATTCTCGGAGACTATGATTCATTATTTGTCTTTTCTGCTTTGATAACAAAATGAAGATCTTCACCAGAATTATTCACTCAAAACTGCACGGATTTTCGCACGTCTCGAATTCATGCGGTGTAAATACCCTCCTTGCTGGTGTTAACTTGCTGTTTTTTAAGAAAGATGCAGATGGGCTCAGTTGAATTTAGACACTGCATCAACTTGGAAAGTCCGGAAGTATTGTTAGTCGAGTGCTGGAGTTCAAGAATTTTTTTAAACCACTCAACTGTTCCTTTCTATTACTTAAGAATTTATGTACTGCTTGTTATGGCCGGCAGAGCGCACGCAGCGTATAATAGCTAACTTCACTCAGGACTCGTGCAGCAATATTTCTTCGAATTCAAGTAACCTTTGTCCATGTGTAAAGTCGGATAAATATAGCGTGGCGATATTCTAATGTGCTTTTTGTTCGCTGCTCAGTCAGGAAAATGAGTCATCCAAATAGGCTATTCCTTTGCCGACGCAGTGCAAGGTCGTAGGCCCCGCTTGTGTGTAATTTTGTAAGCCAATCCGGATGCATATTTCGCACGGAATGTGACAATTGCTCGAGGCGATCTCATGTCAAATATTCTCTCAAGAAAATGAAATTAACTCCTGGATGTGAAGTTCTTTAGTTGCAGATTATACCAGCTTGAATTATTGCCACTAATTTACCTTGATTGACAGTGGTTTTGATTACCGTTTGCCTGTCAGCTTAGAATATTTACTGTACAAACCACTCACGCTTTGGTAAAAATGCTTTTGTTATTTTTATTCTGTTGTCATTTTTTTTTGTTGTTGTTGTTTTTGAGCTTATGCGAAGGAGTAAACCCTCGCTGATGGAAGTTCCAATTTCTCGAGGAAAGAATTGTTTCGGAGAAGAGACACAGTATTTTTAGAAGCGTGTTTGCGTAAACACTTCAGCAGGTTAAGTTGGTTTGGTCGTGCTGGGTTTCTGGACAGAGTCTAAACAACTACTTAAACAGTAGCAGTTATAATCCATTATCTAAATCTTTTTTGTTAAGTTTTAAGAATTATTAGCATCACACAAAATTAAAGCAAATAGCGTATAAAGGATAAAATCACTTGTGCCCTATG